ACTAGGTTAGCAGGGGACCTTTTTAAAGTCCTTATGACAATGGTTTACTGAAACTACTAGCACTGTACTACAAGAACTACTCATGTATATAAGCATGTGTGTAGTGAAATATTATTTAATACAAATAACTCATGCAAAGTAATTGAGTAATGTTAATTATGTTGTAATTGAAATAGCCAGAACTATAAATGGATATCTATTCTTCACCTCGAGTTTCTTACAGAATGGACAGAAATCTGTTTTTTTTAAAGGCTTCTTTCTTTATCGCCTCTCCACCCAGTTCGAAAAAAATTCATCAGTTCCTATAAGAATTCTTTCTTCGGGCACATATAGAAGGGGGAAAAAATGTGAAAAGGCGGGGGCGACAGGCCGAGGAATACAAGAGCCAATTACTGCCGCTCATTGGGGCGCGGGGTGGCCCTTGTGGAGTGAGATACAACCTGTCTGGCAACGCTGCCAAACTCGCCAGAGTGTCCCCGACGTCAGGCCTGCAGACAGGGGCCTGTCACCAGGATGACCGGTGAGAGGGGAGGGAGGGGAGGCGTGACGTGTGCATGGAGGAGACCTGACGACCGACATGGTGATGAGTGACGGGGTGAGGGGTGAGTAGGAGGGGGGCTGATAAATAAAAAGACATGTAAATTAAAACACAAACGAATTCATATTTACAATGTACAGTTTTACCAGGATTGCTAAAAACAAAAGGGCTGATGCAAAATGTCTCCGCCAAAATGAAGAGTTGAAACCATTTATGAACAAACTTCTTTCTTACAATGTCATATCCTAAATGACATGCGCACAATAACATGGAAATATACGGAAAGAGGGATTTCATACAAAAAATGTATACATTTGAAAAGACAACTGGACTATGTGTATGCTTATCGCCGTGTGAACTAACAAACTACTGATGTTTGGGTGCCATTTCTAGACAAGGGCATTCATTTATCTTATTCTCTTTGCCAGCCAGTTTTAGAGAGGCGCGGCAACGGACATGGAGGGGGGGGGGGGGACGACGACGACAAGAAAGGTCACTCGAATGTTAATCAAGCATGCGCAAAAGGAGACCGGCCCAATAAATGGGTCATCACCGGACCTCGACACACCAACGCCTAGTTTAAACTACAGCCCCAGACAACCCGCCCATCAACTTTAAGCCACTCGCCGACAACACTCAAAGAGAGAAAAAAAAGTCTCCACTAATCGCTAGTTTTGCAAAGCCCATTACCCTGCATGTGTGTTTTAACACACGGTCTAATAATAAATCCACTCACTCAACTGATTCTAAAAGAGAAAAAAAAATGACTAGTACGCCCCCTATCAAAGTAGTATTTACTACTCTATTAACCCGACCCGTCAATTTACTACTTCATACTAAACCAAAAAACACATAAAAAAGTAGTTCCCAACGCTGTACAACAAAATAGATCATCTATTTCCCCAGTTTTGTTTAGGGTAAGGTAAAAAAAAAAGTCTTTTGTATGGTCCAGTTTTTCTGGCCGGAGAAGAGTTCTCGAAAACGGGATGGAGAAAGTCCTTCAACGTGTCCCCGCGAGAGCCGGTTATTGTAGCCGAGTGGCCGGCCCGGTGGTGCCACACTGGCCATTGTCCAGCGTCAAGTCCAGCTGGCTGCTGGAGTACAGGCGGGTATTATAGTCAGCAAAAAGAAAGTAAAAACCCGACGTGGTGTTTAGTTTTTTTTACAGGGTTTTTTTAAACGATCGTAAGAGTGACCAGTTTCAATTCTGCCCCTTCTAAAACACGCAATCCAACTGGGTCTTGATGTATGTCAAAATGGGTTGACAAGTCCGAGAATTACGAATGGCGTACATTAAAAACTCGACAGGCATGGGCATAATGGCCAATAAAAATAAACCAGACGTTCAACGGCTAGTATAAGCAGGAGGTAAAAATATATTTTCGAAAAAGAGAAAAAAATTGTGGAGTAGGGGTGGAAGGGAAGCATAAAGAAATTGTATACGCGAAAAACGTCTCGTTTTGTATCAGTGAAATAACACGAACCAGTTTTTTCATGCTGAAGTACATCTCGAAAACCAAGAAAACACCAACCATAACTTTACATGCAGAGAACAGACGGAATGAAGGGGGAGGTTAAAAAAAAAAGGTATGCTTGATTACTAGTGTTGATTCCCCTTCTCTCCTATCTCATTCATTTAACTAGATGTACAGAGAAGTGGATGGAGAGAAAGGTTTAAAGAAATACACACACACACACGTACACGCAAGCACGCACATGGTGGTGGGGGGGGGGGGGGGTGGGGGGAGGGAGAAGAAAAAAAATTGGGGCTGGTTCTAGACGGTCTTTCAGCCCTCCTTCCGCAACACAGGCCCGTAATGAGGGTCTTTTCAGGCAGTTCTGACGTGGAGGGTCTCTCTAGATGCTACTTGAAACCTTGGCACGAGGGCTAATTTGGACGTAAGAGAGTTTTGCTCCGGTCTGCCTTACACCTCACCGTCTCGTCTTTACACTCGTCGGAGGGGGAGAGAAAAAAATTTTTTTCAACGTTTTATTTTTGGCGCTCAATATATAATGGGGTAAAAATGTATGGCTTCAACGCCCGTATCGCTTGGTAGTAAAGAAAACTTGTAATGATTTGTCGAGTATTCAAATGTCTTATGCCAGGCTTTGATATGAACAGCTCACACGGGAAAAAGATTTAAACTACTTCATGTATTCAAATGCTTGGAATGGATCGCGAAGGAGCTAACCATTAAAAATATCACCAAACTCAAGATTTAGTGGAAAAGTAATGTCGGCTGGTGACATTGGTAGGGATTTAGATGTCTTCTTAGTGCAATAAGGTAGGCCGAGTTGCATCTAATGAAACAGACAAGGGGTGAAAACGTCCAAGTATACAGAACTACCTAGATTTGCTAAACAGTCAAACGATTTTGAAAAAAAAAAAACCTTGACTTGCTAAATCGTCAAACAATTTTGTTTAAGATAAACCTAGACGAACAAAATTATCCTGAAGATTTACAAGATAAAATTTCACAGGACCAAAACAGACAACAGCAAACAATTTAACAAGAATTGCATAAAAATAAAGTGCTGAAAAAAATTATCCAAAGAAACCACAAGATCGAGAACTGAATGAAGCACAGGTCAATGTGAGACATTCAACTGTAGTCAGGCCAGGATTTGGCACGAAGTTTTCATAAACCAAAGACTGTGACAGACACAGGACATTATAAAAACTTGGTGAGTGTCCATAAAGGATATGCCGCACTCACAGGGTGGGAGGGGTGGGTGGGCGCAATGTTTCCTACAAGCTGCTTGGCCGCCCAGTGCCACAGTAGTTGTAAACCTGCCATCCAGTCATTTTGTAAAATACAAATAACTGTGTATACATTATTTACTAGCACAAAAGATGTATTTTGTACCTTAGCTTTTGCTCATGAGAGAGTGAGGGGTAGTTGAGGGGGGTGTCATAGTCTGTGATATGGGGAAAATGGAAGTAGATGTATATTTATAGTAAATGTTTTTTAAGCATATAATACCATTTTAGATATCAACAATATTATTGGATTTTTAACATTCTAAGACAAATTTAGGCAACATTTCTGCAAACTATTCTAATGAATGACATTAATGGAAGTGAACTTTGATCTGTGTTCTCAGAATCGCACTTTATCCAAATTTTATGAGATAAGACTAAGGAGATGGAACCCTTTTTTTAAAGTATACATGCCTTCTACAGATGTTTAACCATACCATGAGACTTTCTTATACAAAACATGCCTAGCCGAGACACAATGTGCAAGCTCTTTCAGGAACAGCTATTTATGATTTAAATGAAAGCAGTTTAAGCATAAAAGAGGAACATGAGAAAATGAGAGTTGCAGGTTGCAACTTTGCAAAGCAGAGATAATATTAATTTAAGAAAAAACAAACACATATGTACAGTATAGATTAGTAGTTCTTAACCTATTTGGAGGTAACAAAACCAGCCAGTTTCATAAGCACATTCACCTAACCCTTTTTTTTAATAATTCTATCGTCCACACTGACAAAATCTGATTGTGAATCATAAGAACCCCTGAGACTGACTCATCACTGAACCAGTGGGGGGGGGGGGGGGTGTTCGATCAAACACAGGTTAAGAGCCACTTATATAGAGTATCCAAAATCTTTTTCTTTTAGTTAGATCTACAAAAAAAAATTAAAAATATTCAGCAACTTTTAAATGTAATATTTAGTGGAACAAACTTTATCCATAAATAGTAGTGGAACAAGGTAATATTCAGCTAATTGCAAGACAGTAGGCTTGTCTGCTACTGCCTAGCTTGTACAATGAAGAACATCCATTGTGAAAATGAACTGAGCAACAGATGAGTAACCATTTTCCTATGTGTCACGCTACAGCAATCTTTCCTCATGAATTTATTTTTTATTACAAAATATGTCATAGTAAATGCTTTGTCTGACTTATCCTTCTTTAAATAAATAATACATTTAAATTGCTTAGAACACCGTCTATAGTATTTTTATTTTGAGGCTTCAGATTCCCAAACCTCTGCAGCTGAATTTATAATTTTGCTCATTAAGTAACTAGTAAATACTACAAATGGAATACCCAGGAGAAAACTAATATTTTTTATAACATCACATTATTTATTTTAAATTTTCAAACTTTCTGCCAAGACTGTGACATGCAGAGCTAATGGTAAGACAGTAAGCATGTCAGAGGTATGTATACAAGAGTAAGAATAAAAGTTATTGGACACCAAATTCAAGTTAAAAAAACATGGTTCTTTTAGAAGAGTGTGTGACATTCTTTTTTAAAAATCTACAATTAGGAACATAAAAACTACTTTGTTGATTTAAAACAAATTATTTTAGCTATAATTTTAATAAAACTAAGTTAGGCCTTCTAGAAATCAGAAAAATTGAAAATGCAGCTAGAGTAGACAAAAATATTTCTAAAAAGTGGACAAGGGGAAACAACCTAATATATTTTTTATAAAGTGTTACTAACCTCTGTAGCTATTTCCCCCTCTGTGACCTCCACCGTTGTATCCTGAGTAGTTATATCCAGAACTGCCATGGCTGGAAGGGACGGCTCCCATCAGCCCTGCTCTCATTGAGGGCATCATGCTTTGGGATGACATCACATAGCCTTGACCTCCCATTCCTGTAGTATTTCTGTTTTTAAAAAGTAAAATTTTCAGCATTACACTGGATCTAAGCCCACATCCCCTAAGTGGAATATTTTTTTTTATTCCTATCAGCATATATATTTAAAGTTCATATTAACAACAAAATATATATTCTACTTCTATAAGGCACTAATACAACTTAAAAAACATTTGCACCAATATGATACATATATTACAATGGAGTGAAGTAAACATCCATACCCACTACAGGGACAATATTGTAATCTGGTGTTAACACTACTATAATCTGGTGTTTAAATTCAAAGTGTATGTACCTGAATAACCTATGCTCTCAAACTATAGTATAATCTGGTATTAACACTAAATTCAAAGTGTATGTACCAGATTAACCTATGCTCTCACAATATAGTATAATCTGGTGTTTAAATTCAAATTGTATGCACCTGATCAACCTATGCTCTCACACTAGTATAATCTGGTGTTAACAATACTATAATCTGGTGTTTAAATTCAGAGTATATACCTGATCAACCTATGCTCACACTATAGCATAATCTGGTGTTAACTCTACTATATAATCTGGTGCTTAAATTCAAAGAGTCTGTACCTGATTAACCTATGCTCTCACACTATAGTATAATCTGGTATAAACACTTCTATAATCTGGTGTTTAAATTCAAAGAGCGTGTACCTGATCAACCTGACAGCAGCAGAGTTGTTAGAGTTATCCCTGTACCCACTGTTGGGCTTGAAGCCAAGCTGAGGGCGATAATGCTGACCTGGGTTTCTGTTATTCCAGTCATTTGGTTTCAAGGTGGGTGCTGGCATGCTGGAAGAAAAAATCAATTTTAAGCATTTGTTGTTATACAGGATGTACAGCTAATTAATACTAATAGTTTCGCTGTCTGTGTATCTATCTGTGTATCTATCTGTGTATCTATCTATGTATCTGACAAGAACGCTCTAGAGAAAACACATAGAAATTAAAAACATGCACAGTAATTCGAAAAACGAAGTATGACGTCGTATAGTAGAAAATAATCTCAAGCCGGAGAGTGCACACAGTAATATGACGTCATTGATTCTCGAGTAAACATTGAATAAAAAGGCAATTTTGTCTAATCTAAGTGGTTTGCGTGAAGAGTTTCTTTCATACAATTCTTCGGGTAGGGGCGAAGCCCCACCCCCGCGTAAGAACGTCTGACCCCCCCCCCCCTCCCTAACTCAAAAGGGGTGGTTTTAGTTTAGAGAAAAGAGACAGCACTATCAGCCTAGCGCCCGTTGTACCCTTCCTCAACGGGCCATTTTTCTCGTTACTAATATTTTAACACAGGTTCTTAATATTTTCAGGTGGAGATCCCTTTATTTAAAAGCCAAGTAACCAGCAACCCTCATTCTCATAATATATTTATGTTTAGTACCATTAAAAATAAACATTGCATTGTAGTAAGTTGTTTTTCTAATTTACTATGTATGTTGGCTGACCCTGAGAAAATATATCTTGACTCATAGGTTAGGAAGGGGACAGAGTGGTCTAGCGGTAGAGAGCTGGATTGCTAACCCACAAGTCTCGAGTTCGAATCCGGGTTCAAGTCAATAGACCGTCCCTGAGTCCACCCAACTCTGATGGGTACTTAACTTACGTTAGGGAAAGTAAAGGCGGCTGGGCATAGTGCTGACCACACATCTCTTCATATGCCGAGGTCAGAGAAACAAGTGAACTCTACTTCAGTTGCCCTATAGACCGTCACTTTTGACAAGGGAAGTTTACTTATTTTTAACATAGGCTGGGAACCTGTATATTAGAATAAACTGAACCTCAGCATAGTTGAAAAATGGAAGGGGAAAAATAAGATTTTTATCACTTACACAGCACCAGGTAACACTTCAGCTTTGAACAAATGGTCTGGGTCAAATTGAAGATCTTTGTAGCATACACTAAGAGAAAAATAGAAGAAACAGAGGACACATGAATGTACAGGATGTGAAAAAACATCTGCAAACAACTGTAACATTAATAATGCTGGGAATGGCGCTGTTTATGTAAATTTCATACAACTGGCAGCAATATTAAATAAACTTACGTAATACACCTGTTGTCTAAAATGTCTTCAACGTCAGGAAGTGGAGTAGGTACGACACTGAAACACATTAAAACACACTGCGTCAATGAATCAATAAAAGAACTTTCATGAAACGTAAGGATAGTGTATAATTTTAGGATTTATACATCTATCAGCTTGATAAGCCAAAACTTTCTAGTTTTTTTTATATATACTAAGACAAATACTGATAGGCTACAGGCGTTCGTAAACAAATGCTTACGACATATACTCAAAATAAGATGGCCAGATAAAATATCAAACAAAGACCTGTGGCAAATTTTAAAACAACAGCCGATAGAGAAAGATATTAAGGCCCGTAAATGGGGATGGATCTGACACATGTTAAGAAAAGAAAAAGAAAACATCGCAAAACAAGCATTGGACTGGAATCCCCAGGGGAAAAGGAGGGTGGGCCGGCCAAGGAAAACATGGAAGAGAACGGTTGAGGAGGAGGCGAAAATAGCTGGGCTCTCATGGGCACAGATTAGAGGAGCAGCCCAAAACTGAGTCTGCTGGAGATGTGTGGTTGCAGCTCTTTGCTCCCCAGGGGCCACAAAGGAGTGATGATGATGATGAAGTATATTTTTCAATACCAACAAAAAAATAAACATCCATGTACATTAATCATTTGTAAGATAAATTTAAACCAGAAAAACATAACCCTCATTAACTTGTAAAGTTTCAACATGTTAGTTGTTCAAAGGTTATTACTCAAATCAAAGATATTGATTTACCTACAGTAGCAAAGTAAACCCGGGATGTACACTTACCCCCCTTTAGGAATGTTGTACTCATCACACCAAACTTGCCCAGCTACTCCTTTTGTTAACTTGGTGTCTAAAGCAACGGGCTGAAGAATACAGAAAATTATAACACCATACCAACTTATAATAACTTATACACAATCACAATTATGTGTACTTATTAATGAAATTATATGCAGAATTAAACAACAGTGGAAACTAACTTACCTCTGTAGTAAGGTCTCCCTCATACAAGCCTTCAAGAAACTCATAAGCAGGATGATTAACTCCCAGGAACAATCTATCATTTCCTCTGGTATTTCTTTTTACTGAAACAACAGGTTTTTCGCTGGCTATATAAAAACACATTCACTGCTCTTTCAACCAATCAGCTGGTCATATCAAAATTAAATGGGAGCCACGAAGTATTTGAGCTATTTTGTCCAATGAGTTAAAAAATGCTGACAAAAAGAAAGAACTGGGCTGAATTTTAGTACTTACACTCCTGTTCTGTTAAATCTGGGTAGACTGCCTCAAGGGCCTTGCGCAATCTTGTCTCATCAACAAATGGCAATAAAGCAACACCTGGTAAGTGACAAACAGAACAACAGATGTGTACACAATAGTAATAGTAACATAAATCTCCCACCCTTAGGTTTATGTTTAAAGTTTATATCATGAATGTTAAAGGACTCCTACCTTGCCAGGCATATTTCTTTCCATTTAAATCAATTTTAAAATCTGTAGGGTAAAAGTCAATGATGGGGGACTCCTGAAATCAACATGAGATAAAGTCAGTACTCCTTTAATTTTTAATATAGATTAATTTTGTCAAGCAATTTAAACCCTATACTGTCCGAGCATTAAATAAATTTTTTATTTCTGCAAGGCCAAGTGAAATAATGCATTTTTCAACCACGTTACTTTTTAAAAATCCACATATAGTATATAGTTAAAGAATTACTCTTAGTAGCTTAACTTAGAAATAATAAGCAAAAATAATACCAAACTTAGAAAATTATTATATTTTAAAACCACTGTATAGCTTACATGATAAGTACATATTTTTTCTAGGAAAAGTTACAATGTGAAAATGTAAATACTATAATGGTATTTGATATTATAATAGTTGCACCACATTGGACAGTGCAACATCAAAGGCAAATTGGACAGTAAGGGTTAGAAACAAAACAAAAAACAGACAAACCAGTTGCCTTATTAATAAGTGAACAATATAATTATTTCACCAACAAGGTAGATAACTACTTACTGGATCCTCCATGAGTGTTTGCCAGGTAATTGGCAAATGTTTTTTACTGGCAGCTGGGAAAACTCCCATCAATTGTTCCAATGGTTGAAACTGGGTGAAAAAAAAAATTAATTTTAAAACAGCTGTAGTTCTCTTTAAACTTATGGCTCAAGAAATTGTACTTGTGAACCCATTCATGATAATCTGGTATTTTAAAAAATAAGTTTAAAACTACAAAAGAAAATTTAAAAACATCTTACAGGTACTCTTGTATTAAAAAAAAAACTAAAGTAACTACTTACTGGCTGTGTGTTTTTTTCAAAATCATTAGGAAGGTCTGCAATATTTACAAAATCTGATGCAAATGGAGCATAATGGTAAGGAAAGTACCATTTCCAGGAAGCACAGCCCTATGTTGGAATGAAATTAAATATGAATACATTAATAGTATTAAAAGGCAATAGAAGGAAAAGCAGCCATTTATTGCATGAAATGCAGAGCATCAAAGTATGGAAATGAATGTAAACAATGATTAAAAACTAGCAGCAGTAAAAAAAAAGCTTACCTGATAGTAATACCTCAACACCCAACACAGGCCGATGACATAATGTCTGGCCTGAAATTAAACAATTAAATAAAATTAAAATTAATTAAGCTGGCATAAAGATGCATAACTAATAAAGAAAAACAACCACACTGTTAAAAGTGGAATATAAAAACAACATGATAAAAGAATTTATTACATAAAAATACCTATGAAAATGAACACTCACCACATTGTATCTGAACTCTTGGTCATCAACGTCAACATCAAACTTAGATTTGTAGTACCTGTCTTTCCATCCGTCCTCCCATAGTCTTAAAAATATAAAAGTACAACTAGTTCAAAGGCTTAATTATTGCAAGATTTTAACCAAACAAAATCATTCAACAGTTAATATAAAATATTTAATTTAAGAAAGCAACTGTCACCACTGGTTAACTGTCTATATATTACTGATCTACTTGAAATTTTCATCCTACTTATAATATACTAACAACAAATTAAACCCTGTAGAAAAGTAGAGAACTAAGTGGGTAACTCACAAAATTACATATAATACTCTATTCTACTTATACGACACTAGTGACAAATTAATCTTACTTATAAAATTATAGACCAATTCAACCCTGAACAGACAGACTAAAAACAAACCATGTACCTAACATCATCAGGGGCCTCCTCCTCATCGCTGTCGTCATCAGCGCCCCGCCCACCCTGCTCCGCCATCGGCCTCTTCTGACCCCGCTGCTCAGGCGGCTGGTCACCCTCTCTGTACATCAGAGACTTCAGTTCTGCTGTAGCGCCTGCAACTCCAGACATGTTCTGTTTACGGCTTTCATAAGCTGCCTGTCTGGGGTTGGAGACTGCAGACCCAGCTCCTTGTCTTCCTACTGCCTAAGTAAGAAATTTGGAATATTTTGTTGACGAAACAAAAAATATTTACAAAACTTATGATATTTAGTAGGTTATGTCTATCATGGTAAAACCAGAAAACTTTAAATAAACCTCTACCTGTGGGGCAAACTGTCCACCCATCATCCACTTTGGCCTCTGTGCATTTTGTTGCTGTTTAAAAAAATAATTTATTCTAAGTAAAGGATATACAAAAATTTCATAGTATAATTTCAGCAGTTAAGTGTTAATCAGTTTTTTTTTAAATCTTATAAAATACTGACAAAAAGTGATAGGGTTCTTATTATTTCAAATTTTTTAAAGTTAAGTGAAAATTGTTTTACTTTAAGCATGCATTTTATATATTTTCTATCTTCGAGACATGAGTAACAAAAGTAATTTCAAACATACATGTTTTATTCTTTGCTTCTTCTGCTTGTCTCGACGTCTAAAATCAAGCTGAAAAAGAAATGGGGTGGTATTTTTAGTAGCATTTTTACATAGGAATTTAATGTTCATACACAATAAATCTCTAAATATTTTGAGGATTTGTAAGTCTCCATCACAAGAATTACTGACTACACTTATGTAATTAGGCTACAACGCAGATACATGCCTGATAACAAAGGCAAAGTTTGATATTTGGTCAAGGGCTTACTTCAGTTTCTCTTCTTTTCTTAAAGATTTCATCTTCCACCTTGCCCAATTCTGAGAGAAAGTAAAACAATTATGTTAGTTATTTAATTCGAATAATAATGAAATGAACTTTCAATTATCTTCTTTTTCCTCAATAACTAGTAGTTTAAAAAAAAAACGATTTCTTGAGTAAGAATATTAGTAACAAATGTATTTATAACATAAAAATAGAAGCAAAGTCATTACAGTGCTAATATTTAAAGAAAATCAACAGAATACAAGTAACAAATTGTGAAAGCACAATTAACAAAAAAAACCTACCTGACATCACTAACTGTACTCGACTCAAATTTACAACACCGCTATTTGTCAGATATCCCTGAAATACAGTATTGAAAGCTTTAAACTAGTACAAGCTATTCTTAATATTACACCAAATATTGAAAGAAAGTTAGTGATCTTAACTTCAAATAATCACTATTAAAAAAATAAACTCATAAGTTTTGAAAATTTACTTACACCAGTTTTATATACAACATCTTTATACAGTTTTACAAGTCTGTCTATGGCACCCTCTCTAAAAAAACAAAGATAAGGATAAAATATTTCTTTTGAACTAATCAAAGCTTCCTAAGTAAACTAAACACAAACATTGAACTAAATGTAAGCAATCATAGTATGTGTATGGTAGATGTACCTGATTTCTAACGAAGGTAAATGTGGTAAAAAATCATTTCCAACAAAGAAACACATGAAGACCCAGTCATCAAGAGCCCTCTGAAAGATTAGGATTCTATATTAATGTCATAGGCTAATTGATAACTTAAGCACAATGCAAAGAAGTATTTCATTTTTTAAAAGTAAAAAAATGTTTCTTTTACAGCAATTGAGAATTTTTGTAGGTAAGCATTTATCTACAAACTGACATTGCCTCAGATTAAATAACTCACCATCTAAGTTAAAGTAAGACAGGGATAACTAAATTCATCATAGGCAATGTAGTTACACAATATTTCTACTAGAGCTAACCTAAATGGGCTTACCTCAAAGTCATAAGTGAATGGTAAATTGGGCATGGCTATCTCTGTTTGTAGGTACTCTCTTAGAACAGACAACCTGACAAAAATAAACTGTTGCTCTGCTCCTGGCATTGAAATCTTCTGTTTAAATGAAACATTACATTAGCTTCATAATAAAATTAAAATAATTTTTTTTATATCACATTGAATGAACTATTACATAAGCTTACAAATACAATTTATACAAACAAATGTATTTTTTTAAACTTTTGAAGTTATATAATAAATTATTAATGTAATAATAACTGACAGTTAAGCTTGGTAAAACACTTTTAAAATATTGGTATTGTTAAACACATTACCTCATCTCCTTCTTGTCTAGACAAACCTTCACAATTTTTTAATTCATGCCCTATATGAAACAATTTAATAATAATACATAAAATTGCATAAAAAAACAGGTATTGATTAATTTAAGTAAACAAACAACAAACATATTTTAAACTAGATATAATGAGAAATTTAAGCTGCCCAACTGAGACTGGATTATATATGGATAAACTATTTGTGGTTTGAGGATTAGCAGCTAAGTAATTTAAGTTGAGTTCGAAGACAAAGAACATCCAGTGGACATGCTAATAAGGACAAGTTTAAACCATTTCATTTATCTTAAGGAGAGACAGCTTTGTGGCCAAAAATAAACAGGAGCAATAAACAACATATATGACAAAAACCTACCCATCTGACCACAGAGGTCACACGGCCTAGGTTGATTGGGTTTAAACTCTTCTCTGATGATTGTAAAATTGGGTTCATGTGTAGCAAGCCCTGGTAATCAAACAAATTTAATGTTTTTTAAATTAATACAAGTGAACAAAGTTACAAAAGTATTGCTGGTAAATACCTTAACTTATGATCTGTTTCAAGTTTGAATGACAAATCAAGTGTTTTTAACATTTACTGAAGCCAAAAATGACTTACCCAGCATAATGAGATCAGCTGTGAGAAGAAAAAACAAAGAAAGTTACTCACAGATAGCTGATTATTTCAAAACAAAATTTTAAAAAGTTGTGTTCGGTAAGACCACAAGTCATTACATTTTATTGCCTATGCCTTCTAAGTTTGCGGAGTCTGAGTTTAAAAAGGAGTCCATATAACACCAAGAATACCAATCAGCTCTAAAACTATACACTTTAGGCAAAGTCATAGATAGAACAGCTTTTTGCTTGCCATATAGAATAAAACAAGTAGTCTTATCCACCAGCAATTGGGAGCCAAAGGTAAAGAAAACTACTTGATCACTAAAAATAAGTAAAGAAAAAAGAAGTACATTACCATCTGCACCACAGAGACAATGGTGGGTATTAGGATCATGATCTGGTTGAGCTGTGTAGAAATATAAGACGGTATAATTATTGTTCGATACTATTTTAAAATACATATTTTTATAAAAGCAGCTACATAGAATATCACTTTTTAACTTTTCGATAGATTTTTAAACAGAAAAAATGTTTTTAAAATAAGATTCTAAAAAGAAGCACTTCTAAATCTACACACCCCTCTGTCTTCTGATGTAGTCCATGATCTTGTGCTCCCCCTCTCCAGGGACATTGGCATCAGACAGAATGACCTTAATGTTCTGCCAACCTGGGTCATTGTTAATTCTGTCATGGATGTAGTATCTCAAACACTCAGCTAGCTTGAACATGAAAGGTGTGCCCTAAAAAATGTATTTTACATTATTGGTTAATCAAGAAATAAATTGTGTCATACAGATATAGTTACTAAATGAATAGCAATCTATAATTGTGTTTGCAGGATGCGTCTTCACACCTCAGATCTAATAAACAATCTCTGGTAATATGGGCCTAGCAGTTACTAAGTTAAAGGTGTGTTGAGTGCAGGGGTGCCACTCATTTTTTAAGTGAATCCTGAAAATGAATCCCAAAATTTTACCAATCCTGAAACTAAAATTTGAAATTTTTGAAACCCTGAAATTTAATTCCGCGCGGTATTTCAAAATAAAATGGACTGTTATTTCATTATTTTTTGAGACATTTGATTCATATATTATGTTTAATTTACATGTCTTTAAAATGGATTCTTTAAAGGATTGTGCTTACAACAAAATTAGTTTACAATGTTACTCCCATCTCTAGGCCTACCCCATAATGTGCTATTGTAGAACTCCCCCCCCCCCCCCCCAGACAGCTTTTATAACATAACTATTTAATTTTTTAGAACTTCCTAGCTTGAGTTAAAGTGTGTAGTCAGCCAACTGTTAAGTAACAAATATTTTGCTAACCTCTATGTCTTGTTATTGAATAATAAGCCCACTATATGCAGACCCCTAATAAGATTTCCACTGTATTAAAATACAGGGTTGACTTACTGTAGCTATTCAAGGCTTTAATTATTAACAGCCACAACAAAAACCTTAAACCCTGTTTTCCCAATCAACACCAATGGGGTCATCCATAAATGATGTCACGCTTTTTTGACGATTTTTACCTCCCACCTCACCTCGGTCACATATCGTCACAAAAAGCCAGACCCCGCCCTCTAAAATGACGTCACACCTCAACCTACACCCCCCCCCCCCTAAAAATTGCAGTCGAATTTTTCTTAAAATACGATATTTTTCCAAAAATCTTGTCTGACCTCTGTCAACATAGAGTATTTTAATCAATTCCTATCACACTTTATTGAAACAATATTCTAAAACACGAAATAACGGCTAAAATTAGTTTTCTAACATAGCTTTTCGATAATGCAAAAGTGTGATGTCACACCATCTGAACCCCCCCCCCCTCATGACAAAATTACAGACCCCCCTCCCCCTACGAGTGTGACGTCATTTATGAACGACCCCAATGCCCCCACCTTTGATATACATGATGACGTGAAGAAATATTGTGGAAGTTTTAAGTTCATATCGCGGAATAACAGAATTAAGTTAATTTTAAAAATAATTTTAGAAGTAACTACGCTAGTAATACTCATGTCAGAGATGTAGCCGCCCGACTAAGTGAAAAGCTGATTTTTTTTTACAAGCGGTTGGGAGGGGGCAGTGATAGCGGCTATTTTCAAGGTTGTTTAAACATTTCAATGACGTTTTACCAAAGTAAAAAAAAAAAAAAATTAGATGTAGACCCTGCTAGATCGTGTAACTAAATTATAGCAGGCCTACATATTTTTTTTACTGATATAAAACGATGCAGATCTAATTTTTTTTCTTGAATTAAAAATAACCACGTTAAAATTAAACAGCGCTTGTACTTGTAGAACTGCCTTGACCGAGAGACACGACTCAGACTGTGTTTGCGTGGTCTCGTGACGTAGGTCTTACGGTCAGCGCGACCTTGAAGAAGCGGGTACGAGGTGGTAAAAAGTGACGGTAAAGTTGAGTGAAAACAGCACAGTTCTATTTCATACATAAAATAGTCCTCCAAATAGATTTTTTCTTTTCTTTTTGTAATACCAAATACAAAAAAAAAAAAAATTTTATCGGAGCAAAATCTTTGTTTTTTTTAAAAAGACGATCGGCGATGCTAGTGAGCTAGATCTAGTAATTGTAGAATTTAGTTGTTTTATTACACAGCCTAGCGGTATCCCATTGATGACATCACGTAAATAATACGAGTTTTACCCCCAACCCATATCGTCATAAAAAATAGCCAGACAGCCACACCACGAATGACATCAACAAGTTTCGTCTACAGCCTCACCCATCTGATAGAGCTGATTTTTATTTGGTCCTTGGCGCACGCGTGAGATTGTTGCTGACGTCATTTACTATTCATTTTTTTTTCGGAAAAGGCTATTAGCGGGAGTGTTGATGCAATTTTTACAATGCCAAAATTTTCAAGCTTAAAACGATCTAAATTTTTTTTAAAACTGCAAACCCGGAAATTTTCAAACTCAAATCTTGCGAATCCGGAAAGGGAAAAAAATAAGATTCTCGAATCCGGAAATCCGGGATATCCCGGAAAAGTGGCACCCCTGGTTGAGTGACAACTGCATACAGACGCCTAAACACCAACTAGCTGATATAAACCACCGTACAAGGAAAATATTAGAAAATTTCAGAATTAAATATTAAAAAGCTTTGGCTTACTGTCTTTGTAAAATTAATTTCATAATGTTTATTGAGAAAGTTGTACAAGTATATGCTCTAATGCTTTCTAATATAATAATTTTTTGTTTAAATTTATCACAGATAACCCATAAAACAAAAAAGATGCACACTAGATCTAAGAATTATTAAAATAATACCAGCTTGATAAACTAAACATTGAATAAAAACAATAATTACTGGCGTGATGCAGTTACTGTCAAAATGCTCCTCCTTGGGTTTCTCAGGTGGCAAGTACATTCCTTTGCTGATCACTTCTTCTCTGATACGAGCCATGTCATTGATTTTTTCACTAAAAAAATAAATGGTTATATGCATATTAAGATTTAAAAGAAGATACCCTCAATGTTAATATAATTCTGATGGAGAATGCATTTTAAACATGCAGCCATAATTGCTGAGGCTAGCCAAGCAATTATATAAGATAACACAGCACATGAGTAAATATTATTAATATATGAAATTAAACTATGGGTCATGTATTTATTTAAAATGCTACAAATGATTAACTTTTATTCAATACTAATTTTATTCTATGATAAACTAAAATACCGATGCAAACATACCATGTTTCTTTAGAAGCTCTAAATCTTCTTGATCTCTGTTGGTTCATTTTAGCACGGGGAGCCTAGGACAAAACATTTTGTGATTAATTTAATCATAATAATAAGTTATTGATTCTGTCTAAATTCTCACTATGATCCAGCAGTTTCGAGAAGAGGAGATGCAGGATTACTGCCATGAGAGGTGTGAAAGTTGAACAGAAATGTCCAATGCATAAAAATTATATAAATATATAAAAGTAAAAAATAATGTTATAACAGTAGAGATTTATCTCTGGTTACTAGATTTTAAGTGATGCTTGTGGTCTAGCTTTTGGTTGCTTTCACTACTTTGCTGTCTACAAAAATTTTACTTTTGGGTACAAAAGCACAAATATCAAAATACCTACCACACCATCAATGGCCATGTACAGAACACGTCTGGGTCTGACTATGGAGAAAATTCTGTCAATAAACTCAAAAATCAAGATCATCATCTCATCTTCATTCTTGGGTGCAGGTCTGTAGAATGATAAATGAATGTTAATAATAGTAAGTCATGTAACTGACAGAAGGTTCCTAGACAGTGACCATAATATAACAAAATAATTTGACAAAATCTTAAGTTATTCTTTTACATCAAAATAACAATAAGCCTATGTAAATAAGTACATGGAAAACTAACTGACCTGTCCTCAGGGTGACAGCAAGGGTGAATGATGCCATTCATGTCAAGGTACAGGTTATCAAACTCCACATCATTGGGGTTGGGTTGACTGGTATCAACAGGAACCTTAACACCATTAACATCTTTTGGCTAAACATAAATTTGAATAAAGAATAAATGTTAGGCCTGTAAGTTCAACTTTTTGGGAACTGCTACAGACTAAAAAGAACAAACTACAAGGCAGCAGTTGTTGATTTGGGAATTGTCTCTCCTTGAAGAGTTGCTGTTCCAGCTGTCAAGCATCATCTGAATCAGGGTTCTTAGACTTATCGGTTTAGCAAACATGAGCTTTGCCGACACAAGCCCCTAAAACTACTAAAAGCCCTAAACCTCTTCTCCCTAACCGCAAAAACGTACCTAAATATAAAAAGTCATAAGAAGCCTAAGTCAATACAAATAGGTGACCTATTATTTATTTAGAGCAGGGGTTCCCAACCCTTTTTTACTTTAGAGCACATTCTAAAATATCGGTAGGGTGGTGGGCACTACCTATTTTAAATCGACAAACTCCTTCCATAACTTTTCATTTTCCCATATAATATGTACATGTACCCATATATGTACATGTACCCGTATATGTATGTACATGTAAATATACATGTACTAAAATGAATAATAAAAAAACAATAATTGAACTACAATATAATATCAAGTCTGTTCTGCATTATATGCATAAATATATTATAACAAGAACTATAATTATCTCCTCAATAATAATAGTTTATTAATAGATCATCGCTTATGAATACAATAAATTACGCATCTCACTTTTAGCCTGTTAATTTTTTTTTAATAGAAAACTCCTAATTCTTGTTTCGTCTGACGAATATGTCTCTTATCTAACTGTCGCGACCCGAACAGGGTAGCAATCACAATGACAACAACGCAGTTTCAGGCGGGGAATGCTTTTTGCACATCACTCCATGTACACGCGGAAAACCCAAAGTGAGCGGATGATTGCCGAAGCAATCAGAGTTATGTGCCTTGTGATTTGGCGCCTTCTGCGTTTATCGGATCAGTTCGTGGCGTTTGTTCGATTCGTTCGCTTCGGGTTTTCTGCGTGTACAAAGTGTGATGTGCAAATGGCACTAGCCGTTCCAGGCTAGCGTAAATAGTGCAGTCTGGCTCGCAGCTAGACAAGTTGGGACAAGTATCGAACATATTTAATAAACCTAGGCAGTCAAAAAAAAATATTAAAACTGTAACAAATGAATAAAAATAAATCATATTTTAAAATAATGTTTATGAAAAAATTCTGACTCCGTCGAATAGTGAGAGACGGGCACATAATAATCGTTCAGCTGGCGCCATGGCGCCCGCGGGCATAAGGTTGGGAACCCCTGATTTAGAGTATTAATTTGAGTTTATATTTAATTTAGGCCTAAATTTATGCAACAAGCCCACCAGTTGCTTAACTCCATTTTAGCGTATTTTATTCCCCGCTTCACGTTCACCTCCGGTTGAGCGTATTTTATTATAAACACAACCGAAACACACAAAAACATTAGTAGGAAAACATTAGGCTTATTTCTTTATGAAGTTTTGTTTTGGTTTGATTAATTTACTTTGTTTGTGTGACAGTTAAGATATTCATGGCAATGGGTGAGTACGAAACTCACAGTTGCAAGGCGGTTACGTTTGTTTGTATTGATACAAGTATCTCCCACGCATGCTACTCTACATAAACTTTTATGAACTCACAATGACCCCAAAACTGACTATGACATATGGTGAAGATTAAAGTCAATATGAACTCACGGTGAACCCTCGACCGTGTAGGGATTTTTCTCCCGCTGTTGATCACACTGCTATTTAATTGGAATTGCCCTAGTGCTTTTTAATAGTATTTCTCGCTAACTTGGAGGCGTGGTCGGTTGCTAACAACAATATGGCGCCCGGACCGGACGTTTGATTTCCGGTGATTTTTCGGCCAAATTCCAGAGACCTTCAACTAATTACATTTAAAAATGTTTACCACGCGCAAAATGGCGGGATTTCCGTGTCATAACAACAAACAATAGGTGGCAGGGTTAGATATGCCAGAAAAGCATTTTAAAATTTGGTTTGGAGACCGGAGGCTAAATTCAAAATTTGGTTTCATTAAAATTAATAGAATTTGAAAAATAACTATATAGGTACAAAAATGATCATATAAGTAAAGCATTATTAAGTCTATCAGTCTATGTAAAAAGAAAGCAAATATTGTTGGCACTTTTTTTATAAGATCGGCTCTCATATCACAACCAATTTATTTTTTTTTTTAAAAACCACGTGACCGCTATTTGAGATCACTAGTGAGGAACTCTGGGTGCATGGCCACTTAAAAAGTCTAACCTGATTTGTGGTTTTCTTAAGCATCAAGGGTTAGAAGAGTTGTCATGGAGAGATGTGTTGGCCATGGCAGTGAGTGTCAATAAATATTAAATTAAGTAATTTAGTTTAAAATGAACTAAAAACTTCAAATTTAGTGCCTAATGGATTAAATATGGATGTCTATTATTCAGTGGTCATGTTTATATTGAAAATTGCGTAAATTTTAGATTTAGTAAGAAAAACTACTTTTTAATGTTTTTTTCACCTTTTCTAATTAAAACTCACATTCATGAAAAATAAGTAGTCTAGATCTAGTCTAGCTGTAATCCTAATGTTTTCCTAACGTTTCTGTTTGTTTCTGTTGTGTTTATAATAAAATAGCTCAACCGGAGGTGAACGCGAAGCGGCGAATAAAATACGCCAAAATGCCAAATAGAGTTTTACCTTCGTTCTGTCCTATGATATTCCACATTCATAGTCACTGAGCGCAACTCTTTACAGGCTATAAAAATATTTTATTTGCCTGGTAATTCAGTTTATGCCCTTTATCCGATTCTTCTAGTTAGCTAAATACTTAAAAGTGAAATTGAATACCAAATCAAATATTAAAGCGACAAGTCAGTTATCGATAATAGGTAGTTTGCTTTTTCTAGGTTACCTTTTCTTCCACACAGTTGACGATCAAAGAGGAGTATTTACGGCTCAGCCACCGAAAGAACGCCGGTACTCCCATTTGTAGCAATGATAATGTTCAGGATCTTTTAAATTACAAAAATATTGTTTACAATATCCCTACACATTTAGAATTAGATTCAAATATTAGCGTTTTTCAAAGCGTGTTTTAAAATGACCAATGGAGTGGGAAAAGATATCTCTAAAGACCAAACTAACAGTTTATATTAGCAAATGTATATAATACCGAAAAACACTTTAGCGAGAAATAATTTTTTTTCAAACAACTGATACCTGTGATTTTAAAAAGAAACAAGATTTTTTTTTAAATACAGTAGTTATTTCCTATAACACTAATAAAACCTTTTGAAACTAACAGGGATGTCTAAAAATGTGGTACAGGAATAAGGACTGGGCATCATGACATACAGATGGGTATCATCATGACACAGAGATTTAGTTATAAGTAATTAATTCGAACACCAAGTTTTATTCAGCAGTTCAGCATATTACCTCGTACTAATAAAAAGTTAAATCGTAACAAGAGAGTATCAGAAGGGAAAATATTTTTTTTCTGTAGTCATCGTACTATCCAAACTACCTTTCAAAGTCACCAATTTACGATAGATATGCAAATAGAGGATTCAGAAAATTGTAAAACTATATCCCCGGTGTGAGTGTGTGTGTGTGTGTGAGTGAAAATGATTACTGTTGGATTAAAAACAGATTGGTAATCTATAGAAACTATGTTTGAACTGAACACTTAGGGCTTGAATGACCTAACTCGAAGAAAAGCCTACACCATTTATTTTTTTTTTAATATTCGTGTTATCTGTGTTTTCAGTTATTTTATATGTGATTTAAAAATCAATATATAATTAAAAACGTGACTATAAAAATTAAAAGATAATCTTTAAAATGCAGATGATTAGTGTACCCAAATCTGATGGGTAACTGCCTGAGTAAAGGCGATTGTTCATAGAAAACTGACATTGTTATATCTCTTCAAGAAACAGATGAGATATATCTCATCTGCCAATGTGACCGTCAGATCCCAAATAGTAACTACTTTTTTTTTTTAAATGACGATTATAGAATGTATTTAAATTAATGTTTTGTTAGCTATATTAAAATGCTTTTAGGTACTTTTAATTTTAATGTAACTTGTGCACATTAGGGTAGCCTAATCACTTGTTTACTTCCGCAAACAACAGAAATGGCGTCAGAAATATTGCAAAAACTTTGTAGCAAAGCAAAACTTGATAGAGACAGGGGATATTCGGAGCTTGAAGAATTCATTAGTCGTTGTGATCAAGATGAAATTATTAATGCACAACAGGATTTTATCCGTTTACTTTCAGAGCCCGACCAAGGATGGGAAAGTCGACATGGTGGTTTGAGTGGTGCAAGATGCCTGTTTGAACAGGGAAAAATTGCAATAGAAGATGACGGTGAATTGGATGGCGGATCGTCATTTGCTTATCTTATGATAGAAAGTTCAATGTTAATGTTAGATCATGAAGAGTTCCGCGTTAGAATCGCAGCTGGTAAGTCATTACTTAGTCATTAATGAAATAAATTTTGATAAAATGTTGAATAGGCCCCTAAAAGGCCTAATGCCCTTATTAGTTCACTATTGGTGGTTTTTTTAGTCAGTACCATATAATTTAGTTACATACAAAACAGACGGCTGTCCTAAAACATTCAAACTAAATAAATAAATATAATATGATTTAGGTAAGATTTTTTTTTTTTAATGTGAATGTGAAATCTTAAAAGGCGAACTGCTTGGAGTTCTGTGCAAGGTGATTGGAGTTGAGGTTTATGACAGGTGTAGAGAACAGATCCTGAATGGCATACGCTGTAATTTGGAGCGTAATTGTGACAGTCTTGGCTTATCTGAAGATGCATTGGATTCTCCTAGCACTGAACAGCCAGAAAGCATTATGTTCGGGTCTCCAAACACAAGCGCTAGACTGATTGAGCGAGTGAGTTCAGTTTTCTTTTTAAATTCTCCTATTTTTTTTTTTTTTAAATTTACAATGATGAATTAATTTTTAGGTATTTAACTAATTGTTACAGACAGAATAGCTACAAGCAAGTTTATAAATTGAATCATCATAGCAAATAGTGATACTTACTCTAACCCAAACTGCCATAACCTAAACCCTAACTGTTAACTTGACTTAATTTTCTTAAAAAAAGGTAATTTTTAATAGCAGTATATATTCCTTGTGATTATTTGGTTGTTAGCTAAACAGAACACAATTTTTTTATCACGGCTAACAGCTATTTGGTTTTTTGTGTGTGCCAATAATTGAATTTTGTACAAATTTCTAGCGCTCCAGTGATTCAGCACAAATGCTTCATGATACAGCAGGCTGGAAATCTCTAGAGACCTACATGAAGTAAGTTTATTCCCACATCTGGTTGCATTTAAGTAATAGTTGTGAAGATTTGTCTATGAACATCCAACTCAATGGGCTATCAGATATTTGCTTCTGTTAGAGACACTAAAGGAAGGAACTCTTAGGTTCTCTAACCCCATCAACTAAAAGGACCTGAATCCTGAGCTCATGTTTAGCATTCTTTTATATGGAAGTAAATGCCTCATTCAATTTGTATGGAGTATTCTTTTTACGCTAATATTAAATAAAACTTAACTCAAACTAACATTTTTAGTTACTAATCAAATTATTGGGACAGCGTGGCCCAGCATTACAGCGCTAGACTCCTAATCTGAGAGCCTCTATTTTGAATCCGGGTTCAAATCAGTCCACCCAGCTCTGATGGATATCTAACTTACGTTAGGGAACTATCCCTTCGTATGCCATGGTCTATGAAGCAGATGAATTCTACTTCATCTGCCCCATGTGTCTTGGCATGAAGAGGAAATGATCGTGATGAATCAAATTATTGTTAAAATAAGCATTTGAATTAAAAATTTAACTTATTTGAATATTTAATGACAAATTATAAGTATAAGTAAATTACATTAAATATCTTACATTTTAAAACATTTGTAAAATACTAACATTTTAAATTTGTACAATTATTGTCATTTAAGTATTTGGATGATATATTCTTAAGTAAATTATAGTAAATGCCTTTGTATATCTGAAATGTAACAGGTGCCTGCAGAGTGTAATCCTGGGCTGCGGCAACAAGTTTAATGACTATGTGGATCAGGAGTTACTGGACCTGATCTTTGAGGCCCTGACACACACCAATCGTTTTGTCAGAGAAACTGGTTTTTATGTTTGTAGTGCGCTGGTCAAGTGTGGTGAAGGAGGTGATTTTTTTTTTATCTAAAATTTCTAGCTCATTCTTGAATGGCATTCATTTCATGGTTGTGGTTTCAAAATTGTAGATTATAACTTTCAAATCTTAGTTAAGATAAATTTTAATAGAATTAGCACTGTTCACAATAAAAGCTATGGGGTGGGTATATTTGAAATCAGCTAGAAGTTGTACATTTTGATTATGAAGTCATGAAGGATATGTGTATGGAAATTTTATAAAAGAAAGTTCAGTACTTAGTTTCTATATTGCGGTTATTTTATTTTAAAATGGTTTGATTCTATATATGTGTTGTGTACTTATTTTCATCTCTTTTAGTGGAAAATGACAATGATGCTGAACTGGAAGAAAGAAATGCCATTTATCGTCATGGAAAAATATTTAGTTTCTTAGTTTCTATATTGCGGTTATTTTATTTAAAAATGGTTTGATTCTATATATGTGTTGTGTACTTATTTTCATCTCTTCTAGTGGAAAATGACGATGATGCTGAACTGGAAGAGAGAAATGCCATTTATCGTCATGGAAAAATATTTTCTGAATATCTCGGCAATGGGCTTGCTGACAATTGGAGCCAGGTAATAATACAGTTTGTCATCTTTTTAAAATAAAATGTCACTGGAAGTGAATAAAGAATACATATTTTTTATATAAGTCTGTTCCTTAATGAATTCTAGTTTTTTAAGAAAGCCTTTTATAATCTTAAATTAAATTCTTACTACTACTAGGTTCGCATGGCTGGGTCTGTTGCCACACGCAATTTCCTGATGAGTTTACCTTCAGAAGAAGCCAGAGAAAAATTCTACCCAATCCTAATTCCCAGGATGTGCTTAAACAGGTGGGGAACTGTTTGTCTATGATATGTATCTAGCAATGTGTGCACACAATAATGATACAACAAAAAGCATTTTAACGCAGCTGTTATTTTTTAACAAACTTAAAATAAATTTAAAGAAATAAAATCTAGCATTGAATTACAAAACTGTTTTTTATAAAATGTTATCAACGCATGTGTACAGTCCTTACTTGAAAATCTGGTCTTCTCAAACTCAGGTATTACATGGCAGAAGGTGTTAGAATATACTCACAAGAATCTTGGCGTCAGGTCACCAAAGGAGAGGGAAAACATTTAGTGGAGAAATACATTCAACAAGTTGTAAGTTTAAGGTTTACTCATTTTTTACTTTGAATTTATTTAAAACATTTTGAGTAAAGAGTGAAGTGTATTTTTACATTGGCCTTTTTGTAATTCTTATAAAATTTTAAAACATTTCTGGTATTGTTCATTATTTACACTGTATTCCAATTGATTTAATCCAAACATTTCTGCCTTTTTGGAATCCCTCATACATGAAAATAAGAGCTTGTTAGAACTATTCTTTGTTTTTTTTTTAAAAAATAATGAACATTTGAAAACCACAGGTAGAGTTTTACATCCAGGCAACAGATTCCAACAACCATGCTGTCAGGGAGGCTGCTTGTGCATGTATAGCTGAGCTGGGATCAAAGGTCAGTTTACCAGTGTGTAACACAGGTCTTACATGCAGCAGCAGTTGATTAAAAGTTAATTTTGCCAAATTGGTAATTGCACTCAAATTTGATGCGATCACAAGCAATTTTAAAAATGCATTACTTAATTAAACTTTTTTTTAACTAAAATGTATGCAAATGTAGCCTTCTGAACGTCTGGCTCCTAGTTGCTAAAAAATGTATTTCACTTTTAGAATGATTTAACTAGACACATTCTTATCTAGTTACTTTACAGAAAAGGAATTTTGAACTTTGGATGTGTATCTACATCCCGTTTGTAAATTAAGTATTTTAAAAATACATGTATTTCAAAGTTGAGTTACCAAAAATAAAGTCATTGAAGTAAAATAGAAAGACTTTTATGCATTAACAATATAAAGCATATTAGTAGGGGAGGGGGGAGCTCAATTATTATAATTTTAGATTAATTAGTAGTTCTTGGATACTTGCCTTTTCAATAAAAAAAAAATTTATTCACATCTTCTAAACTGTTGCTCTCTTAGTTATCCAACAGTCCTAACATCCATGTTTAATCATACAAAAATAAATGTTTCAGATTGACAAAGCTGCTGTCAGTCCATATGTTACAAAACTATTGGAGACTTTACTTATTTGCTTCAATGATGATAGTTGGCCAGTGAGAGATGGTGAGTTAGGACTGTCATTTTCTATACAGAGCTATATATATTGTGGTCTAATCTAATCAACCTTAATTTAGTCATGTGCGACTTATTAATACAATTTTAAAAATATGTAGGAAGAATAGAGTTATATATTCAATGCATTAATGTAATCAAGTGCTACAAATTAGTGTAATTTGTTTTTACTTTAAAGTTTTTTTTTTTCTCATTTAGCTGCCTGTATTGCATGTGGTCATTTTGTTCTGTGTTTTCCTGAGGAATCCAGGTTTGTAATCACTTAAGATTTTAGTAGCAATCAAATAACGTTACGTGTTTTTAAGAAAGTAATATTGCATAGTTTGATTTATTTGAGATATATTACTTTTATAGCACATGTATACAATCCTTTTAAAAAGGTAAACACCGGTTTGAATCTGCTCTGGATGTAGTATATTATTTTTTGTGTTAAATCCGTAGGCATACTGATGACTTGGATCTGTACCATATTATTGATTCTAAAAAAATTCATAAACTTGTCCATTAGGTCATCCTTGCCTGCGCTGTATCCTCTGTTCTTCAATAATCTTCAAGACAACATCCCTTCAGTCAGGCAAGGGGCAGCAGTTGCCATCACTAACATCGTCAAAGCTTATGGTCAGTTTAACCTTTTCATTCACGCATCTGTTTCTCCTTCTTTCTTCTTCTTCGTTCTTAATTTTTTGTGTTGGAAGGGATTGAGCCTTATCTGCCAGAGGGTTTGAACTAGAGACTTTTTCGAATTTATCAACCATGATCTTTTTGTCAACTCGACAGCGCCTCCATGACAATTAATTATACGTTTCTCCAACTCTATTTCATAATTTAAACTAGTGTTCTTTTTATTTCCTAGAGAACCATTATTTCCTAAAATGTAGAATTATCATTTATGTGTTAATTATTTCCTACTCTAAATATTTCTGTTATTTCTCTTCCAGAAATCAAGTTTTTTGACAATAATTTCTTTTTTGTGTTGTTTTCTTTAAAAGGAGGTGCAGAGCAAGATTTTGTGTTTTCTAAAATAAAAGAAGGCTTTGAAAAGATCAAAGAACAGCCGGCCACATCAGAAAAATATGAGAACCTGGACAAGTCACCGGCTACTTTTGGGGTTGTCAAGCACCTTCGTGATAATGACATGGAGCTGCATTCAAACCAGCAGGTTGGCAAAAATGTTTTACTACAAAAATGTTTTCTCTAAATTTATTTATTTTATCATATTTTTTAGTATATGACAGATTTAGGCTGCTGTTAGTGAATTTAACTGTGACTCTAAAAGTAATGTATTGCTACCATGCTACCCAGTTTGTAATTAAATAGATTGGACTCATTTTAACTTTTAATTTATTTGAATTGTATTTTTGTAGTGTTTTTTAAGGAAAATTTAATAAATGTAAAATATTTATCTAATCTTCAATTATTCTGAAAAATGGACCAATTTCAGATGTACTCCTGTGGCTCTCTGGCTCCAAAGATGGGAAGGGGAGGAGGCTGTATGGACCACAAGTTTAGGAAACCACCCCAGCCATGGGAACTAGTTGATGGGTGAGCTCCCTTGCATCTCAGTCACATTCAAAGATTAAGTTGGTCATCTACCTGATTCAACATGACATTTAAAAAAAAATTTTGGACTGGAGAGCTAAGAAAAGTCAATAATAGATTAATAATTTTTTTAAACTCTTTTTTTTTATATTAGGTGTGTGAATCTCTTGGCAGAACTGAGTCAAATCCAGTCTCTGAATGCCCCAGTCAGCAAGCTGTTACCTGCCATGGCAAATGCCTGTACAGTCAAAACCTACACACACTATCCCAACCTCTTGGAAACTGTTTGTAAACAGGTTGCTCTTTTAGTCAGAGATATCTAAGTATTTTTATAAATATACAGTATCATATATATAAAACTTTATGAATGAACATAAAAAAATGCCTATTCTTGCTCCTTTTTTGATTCCCCAAAAAATTATTTTTATTATTTGAAATCTGCTTGGGTTACTTGTTTAAAAAATTACTTTAATGTTATTTTACTAACTATTATTTTTCCTTTTTCTTTATTTCTATATTTACATTATTCTGAAAAATATAATTTGCTTTAATTGTAAAAAAAATTTTTTAGCTTCCAAACTTTGCAAAAGGACTCGGAAAAAGATCATTCAAAATGTTTTTGGAAATGTTTTTGGACTACATCTTTGAAGCTTTAGTAAGAAAATATTTTTACTATACAATACTTTGCATTATTCAATGCTGCTAAGTATTAATTAGTTAATCCACAACAATATAATGCTCAAATTTTTTTTCAGTGGTGCCATTTTAACACTAATACCTTTCTTAGATATTAAATAATGAGATTTTTTTTATATGGACAAAATTTTAGATTTCTCACAATTCTTGTTTGATATGTTTATGTCAATTTTTTTTATGCATCTTGTAAGCTGAGAAGCACGTACAGTTTTTCATAAGAGATACAGTGTAAACCACAAATACCGCAGCTTGATTGGTCTATTTAAAATAAATTTCCACAGGACAGTGACGTTGTTCTAGCATCTGCGGCTGCGACTCAATGCCTGATAGACCTCAGCACTTTCCTTGGCCCTGGCATTGTTAGAGGGAGGATAGAGCTGTATAACAGCTTGTGAGTCTCATTGTCATTGCACTTAAAGTCTGTTTTAAATTAGATTTATATACAAATTTAGCCCTTAACTGTTTTGATTGGTTGATTATTCATGAAAATAAATAGCTGTAGACTAAGTTTCATGATCAAATACTTTGATGTAAAAATGAGAAAGAAAAAAGCAAAGTTGACATCTGCATCTATCTAATATTTTAGCTAGATTGTTTGTAAACATGAGATTAAACATTAGACCTTGGTAGTCTTTTTTTTTATTATAAACAACATGGTATACACAGGAATTTGAGTAGGATTCCCTAGTTTAGTAGCTTTTTACAGTTAACACTGCGATAAGGCGTGGTTGGATGATAGAGCATTAGACTGCCAGCCGGAAAGTCTGTAGTTGGAATCCTGGGTTTTTATCCACGGAACGTCCTTGACTCCACCCACCTAATAGGTACCTAACTCATGCCAGGGAAAGTAAAGGCAGCAGGGCACAGTGCTGACTGCACTATCCCTTTATATACTGAGATCACTGTAACAGTTTAATTTTACTTCACCTACACCATGGACAATCAGTTTCATTTTACTTTATAGAAAACAATAGTAACGGAGAGGCCATGCTTTGACTTAATATTCTTTTGCATTTCACATATGTATAGTAGATAGCCATGTTGTAAGTTTTAAAAAATCAAGTACTACCTTACTATTCTCTGATTTACTTAAGTTATATTCACCCAGCTAATACTCACAACAATATTCCAAAATAATTCCTTTTTGTGTTGTCTTGATACATTTTTTAAAAACAATTTGAAATATATTATTTTCATCAGATATCTCCCCAAGTTCGACAGTCTGCCTTACTATTCTCTGATTTACTTAAGTTATACAACAATATTCCAAAATAATTCCTTTTTTGATTTTGTGTTGTCTTTCTACATATTTTTTGAAAACAATTTGAAATATATTATTTTCATCAGATATCTCCCCAAGTATGACAGTCTGCCTGGGTTGCCACACTAGACCAGATTTAAAGTCGTCCCAATTTTGGCAATGTGAGCCCAGATGAACTGCCAAAGTACAATTTAGTCATTCGGTCAAGATTTACGTCAAAATGTAATTTAGTCAAAACATGACCTACCAAGTCCTTGTTGCCTGCACAGTATTTTAAAATTTAAATGCAATGTGAGATTTTCTTTGAGTGATTTTTGTATGTGTCACAAATGCAAGATCCTTTAGTGTACATGTTTTAGATGTTTTATAAAAAGAAATATATGCATTTTTAAAAGGAGGTTTTTTTAATTCTATTTTTGTCTCCAGAAACAATAAGCTGCTAATTCAGTTTAAATCACTATCATGATTAAAGTATAATAATTACTGATTGTTTTTAATTACAAATATTGATTGATATTAACAGAAAAACTAACCAGTTATTTCTTTATTTGGATTGTATAATTTGAGGATAGTTAACTAAGGGTATTGGTTGGTTATCAAACGGCCAACTTTATGTAAGATCTAATGTGTCATCTCTCCTAGCATAAAATTTATGCTGTTAAAGATTTTTATAGCAATATATATTACAAAATGATAGCAAAGTTGGTTCATTTCGGTTAGGGTCACTCCATACCTACTTGATCTTATAATGTAATAATAATTTGGTGCTACTTAATGTTGTCATCTCATGTAAAAACTTACTCAGCTATGATTTGAATGTGTTCTTTAATATAAAAAGTCAATAAAGGATCAGCTTCACAGGTTTTGTCCAATCAACATCGAGAATAGAACTTTGTTGTTTGTGTTAGATAAATACCCAACCCTAGACAAGAATAGAACTTTGTTGTTAGTGTTAGATAACTATCCAACCCTAGACAAGAATAGAACTTTGTTGTTAGTGTTAGATAACTATCCAACCCTAGACAAGAATAGAACTTTGTTGTTAGTGTTAGATAACTATCCAACCCTAGACAAGAATAGAACTTTGTTGTTCCCTATTCTGGTTCATTTTAACAGGAAGGATATTATTAAAAATCTAATGTATAATTTGTGTACATGATACATTTTGTGAATTACTAAATTACTTCAAGGCAGAGTGTTGTTAATGTGTTGTCTGTACTTGATATTTAGTTATTATGTTTTTTTTTTACATGTACACGTTTATTTCTTCAAAGCAAATCGAAGTTTTATTATGTGTGTAATTTGATTTTTTCAAGGCAAATGGTTGTAAACATGTTGTCTATCGCTTGATGTTCAAAGTTGTGCTATGATTTTATGAGCATACTTTGATTTCTTCGAGGCTGATTTAACGTTTTGTTACATGTATACATTGACAAGAAAAATAAATAAAAAATTGAAACAAATGAATGCTTTGTTTAATGTCTTATAAAACATTTGTTAAATATATTTTCTAGATAGACTGAGCATGCGCATTTTAAAAATAAAATATAACGAAGTATTTAAATTAGCTGTTACATTACAAAAAAACTAGATAATTATTAATACATAAATTCAACAATTTCTTTTTTTTTTTTATAATTCATAACCTAAATCATTCATGGTTAGTCAACTTAACTTACAATCAGTTTAAAAAAATTCTCACGTTTTACACCCAACCATTTTTTTTTTAATTTTGTTATACCATGTATTAAATAACATTGCCAACAATCCAATCCCAATCCTAAAGCTCATGGCTGACACACCATTTCACAAAAGGTGTAACACAACACCATTCCAAAAAAATGCATTAGCATTCCACATCCAACACAAAACACACAAAAAATGTATTTTAAAACATTCACTATCAAATATCTAACTATTCTTTATAACACCTACTGCACCATTCCTTACATTCACGAACACCACAATATATATATCACAACAGTGACACCATCTATAAGAATAAAAATCAAAGTATGTACGTGGGTTTATCCTTTAAACATTACTACACCTTCCATCCGATCGACATGAAACTTGAGGGGAGGGGGGGGGGGTGGTGTTGAGTGAGCTTTTTGCAAAGAAAAAAATTCAATTTCGCAGGGGCGCGACCCGGCAGGTTGCGATTTGGCGCCCCGGGCTTTCCTGTGAGGCTATGGCGCATACGTTCGTTTTAAACATCGAGACAATGGATAAAAATGGGGTTTTATAGTCGTTCACTAAATTTAATCAGGCGCATCCGTGCGATTTGGCGCCCCGGGCTATCCTGTGAGACTTTTGGCATTTGTGTAACCAGGAGCTCCTGAGACCGCCGCGCTACGCCCCTGATACCTGGGCGGTCGCCGAAGTGTTTTCCACCTCATTATTATGGAGAGTGATTAACCTACACTCAATGCTTTCATAAAGCGCGCACTGGGGCGTACTGGGTAGTGGTGTCGGAAAAACCCATGTCCCGATAAAAATGATCCAAGAAATATAGCGCAAGCATTGTTTACATTTAAATAACTCAGTGTTAGAAAACAAGGTCACACGCATAAGAATCTAGGATTGGTAACGCACTGATGAAACCCTCTTAAAATATTGCGTCAGACTTTCTTCTGAGACCGCGGCAACGCGCGGGACGGGCACGCTATTTCCTAATAAAAAAATATAATACCAGTTACGCCTTTCCATAAACGTTACCTTCACATGTTCGTCTGTTTCATGGCATGAGTCAGCACCCAGCATAAATGCCACATATGCTGTCACAAGTGAAATCAAATGTCACGGATTTACATACAACATATGTCTATACGTCTAATGTACAAGCGTGAAATAGACCCCAAAACAGTCAGGTTATTGAGGGTAACAGACAGACAAACAGATAAGACATACGTCATTTTAAGAGTAGTGTCTCTTGTAATTGTTTACCATTGCTGTTATAGACCTGTACGATTATCAAAGTAAAAAACACACACAATTTCAACATCAATATATTTAAAAATAACCACTATTAAATGAGACACTACTATATTTTTATTTTTTGACAGTCTAACATCATCAGTTCCCGTTTGTGTCCGAGACACGATGAAGTAGAGTTCATCTACTTCAGAGACCTCGGTGTATGAAGGGAAAGTGTGGTCAGTACTATTCCCAGACGCCTTTGTTTCACTAACGCGAGGGACGTTCAACTGATTCGAACTCGAGATCTCGGCTTAGCAGTCTAGCAGTCTCGCTCTTTCCCTACCGCTAGGCCAAGCCGTCCCTTCGACTGTCAATGGTGTGTGTGTTGTTTTGTTGCTGCAGAATTCATCGAAATCAATTAAGCATACAACATGTGTTAATTGATGACGCAGAAAAATCAATTAGTCTTTATATCTGATATACAACTGTTATATAACTACGTCTGAAATGTTACTCGTCCTGCTTGATCCTTAAAATGTGTGTAGAACACTGATCTTCAGCCGTGACCAATTCACCACCTTATACAGTCACCATTCACTACCTGACCTATTCACCACCTTATACAGTCACCATTCACTACCTGATATATTCTCATCACAGTTTGCTTAGTAATTCTTAAATTCTTTATTCCCTCTTTCGCAATGTCACCAGATTCGAAATCTCAATGGTAACATATTCTCTCCTTTCAACAACTTCATGAATTTAATATACCTTTAAACAACCAACAAATATCCAAACTGCCGGGGAATATAAAAAAGCAACCCTTTCCCGATTTAAAATTTCATAGTACTCTTTACTCCATCCAAGCACATTTACCGACAATTGACAGATATTTTTTTCATTTTTGTTGACTTTTACATCACCGATCCTGCCGGTCCGCAGGAATTTTCCCTGACGGCCCACCGAGATTATTCCCAGTGTCCAGGTGGCCCAGTCCACCTCTGCATGTGAACCTAATGTTAACTCATTTTAATTAATTAATTATTACCATTTTACTCAGTACTTTTTAGAACGTATATGCTTTACTCTTGTTTATTTTTAGATCTAATCTAGCTATTTGTTTTTTCAAAACTCCCAAACAAGTAGAACCTACACAGAAAATTCCGCTTATGTCGAATACCACTGAGTCATTGCCTATATAAGGCTCTTTTGTACCACGCAGTGTCCTTTCACCGCTTTAATTAACGTATCAATAGATGGAATTATTTTTAATGTCTAGATACAGCGTCTGTTGCGTCCATTAATGTATGGTTGTCACCATAGGAATAGCATTAGAGCTCATGAGTCAGTGTCAGATGTAGCGAGGTCGTGTACTTTTAACTGTGAAATATAATCATGTGCAATATGATATCGCATGGTGGAGAGAGTACATGGATGCATTGTTTATACATACTCGCTCGGCGCAACATGCACATACATGATGCACTCACATACACACACATATATATGGAGGCATATATATATATTTATATATATATATATATATATATATATATATATATATATATATATATATAAATATATATATATATATATTTATATTTATATACGTATGCTTACATGTGTATGCATATATATATATATATATATATATATATATATATATATATATATATATATATATATATATATATATATATATATATATATATATATATATATATATATATATATATATATATATATAAACATATATATATATATATATATGTATATATATATGCATAGATGTGTATGTATGTATATATATATAAATATATACATATATAAATATATATATATATATATATATATATATATATACATGTATATATATATATAGTGTGTATCTTGCCAACTTCTTTATTAATTTTTTACTCAATAGAGCAAGAGTAATAGGTTTTGGATTTTGTAATGCAATTTTTAAAGTCAGTATTGTTGTATGTATCGATTACCGATCAATACTCAGCCATCTGTCTCGTGGGTTTTCGTGTGTAGTCAGTTGTTTTTTTTTTCAGCTCTGACCCTCACCGACACACGTGTGTGCTGCTCACTCGAGTGTGTGCTCACCTCCCCACCCACACCCCGACCCCCCGCCCTATAATAACGACCTAATTGCGTTAACTAGCATAAGTACGGTAAGCCATTGCGTGTGGCGGTGGAACAGATGCTAATGTGTGGCTAAAACTGTGTAGGGGTTGTAATTGCTTTTTTATTCAGCGGATAGAGCCTGCGTGCGTGAGCAGGAATTTTGTGCGAATTGTTGCTGTAATTACTGATGTAGTTGTAATCCGGTTGGATGTGCTGTGTGTGTTAGATTAGATGACGAGCAGATTTGTTGGGTAGTTTGTTTGTATACATTCGGTGACGTCACGCTTGAGGATGAGTACGGAGAGCCAGCCTTTACAGAAGGAGGAGAAGTCTTCACAGACTTTTATCCTCGCTAATATAAAGCTGATAGCTCGTTCTCTCGGACTTATAACCGTTGCCGGTAATTTATAATATATCTTCACGTTTCTTTATTTATAGTGAACTTCTTTTGAAGTCATTACATTGATAAAATATAATTCACATTATATCTTGACATATACTAAAGTGAACTTCTCTTGTAATGTGCTTTTAACGATAGATATTGCTTTTTAAAATAATTTGTTGTTGGCGTCTAGCTGTATATGTGATTGTACCCACAATATCTAAATGAATCTCTAAAGATTTAAATATTTATTTTGTAGTCCTAAGACGTGCTCGTTTTTAGTTTTTTGAGACCAAAAAATTATTATCCCATCCATGACCATTCAAGTTTGAAGTAAATCACGCAAGATGGACTTGCCATTGTTTTGTTAAGGTGGTTTAAAGATGTACTTGTGATTATTAAGACCAAATAATTCATGTCCATATTAAATCCATTCATTCAAAGTTTCAGTTGATAATGAATGAAAGGTTGACTAAAATAACGATCACATAACCAGAGTTTGGTGTACTTCAGAGCACAAGTAGTATTTTAGTGAATGTGAGTTTTTTTGACAGAGGGTGTCATTGGGTTTTCTTTCTGAATCAAGCCTGACAGAGTCCGAAGGAAGAAGAATCGTATTTAGTTTTTTTTTTTTTTCATGGGATTATTACAATCGCATCTATAAATACTGCATTTGGTTTGGTTATTGAACAGTAAAGTTTAAATGGTGGTGGCGTTGTGGTGGTGGTGTTGTGTGTGTGTGGGGGGAGGGGAGGGTAAGTACACCTCTAAGAGTTCATCCAGATGAAATTACAAAATCATAGTAGTGAAGTAATTCCTTTTCGAACCAGATGATCCACTGGGTAATTGAAGTAGAGTTCACCTGAAGCCTTATGAAGGGACGGTGTGGTCTGCACTATGCCCAGCCGCCTTCACTTCTCCCTAAAGTGACTTAGGTACCCATCACAGCTGATACATCCTAGACTATGCTCCACCATTCGACTACTCCGTCCCATACAAAATCATAGTCTTTAAGGGTAAAATCACAACGGAAAGCGAAATCCGCAATTAACTAGATTTCAATTTAGCAAGACCATAAGTTTTAAAAAAAATATTTTATTATCCAATATACATATCCTAGTCGGGAAACAAAATAACTTCCACTACATATCTCTCCTCGCTTTTAAAACCTAATTATAAATTTATTTATGGAGACAATCTATTATTACGATCAGATTTAGAACTACACTGAATGGAATATAATGCAGGTGAATAAAGATGCTATGCACTATTTCCTCATGTTTAACAGCTTCCATTGTTGTTGTGTTAATAAGCTTAAGGTATTGGTGCATTGAATATTGGTTGAGTCACATATCAGTAAGTGTTTGACCATGTCCATACACAAGCGCAGGACATTTGGACAGAGTAAAAAGGGACAAGATGATGATTTAGGTTAGAGTTAATCCCAGTCCAAAAAATACGAGTTTTTTTAGGTTATTATTAATCCCAGTAGACAACTCAAATGAGAAGCTATTTTAGGCTTAAGGCTAATCCACGTCCACATATCTAAGCTTAAAGGCTAATAAACATACAATAGTCTTTGGTTAACAATGTGCAGGGGCGACTTTGGTGTATGGTTAGGTTTAGTTTATTGTTTGTTATCAATAAAGGATCAGAAAGAGATTACGGATTTTTACAAATATTTCTTTTAACTACAAAACGAGGTATGATCATTATTCAACGTGATTCCTGGATGTGTAAGCGTAGTTTAAACTCGCCAATATTACGGACAGACGTTCTAACCAAATGTTTCGAGTTGCTTCGCGCGTGTCGAGCACATCACGTGACTATTTGCATACCGCGGGTTGGGTCACACCTGGCCGTTTACCATAACACTCACCAAGTCACCTGAAGTTTACTAGGACTCGCGAAATTTTCCCGGTTTTATTTTGTTTAACAAAGTAATTGCGGCTTACAAACAAAAGTTGGATAGTTATTTTCCATGATGTTGATTGTAAGGCATAAATAAATAGAAAGTACCGTTTTGTGTACGGTGCCATAGGAAAGGCGTGTTCGAGAGATAGAGATCTTGGTTTGGTTACAAACCCGAAACTTCGGATCACTAGCTTATGTCCGTTTGGAGTCTCTGAGTCGACTCAGCTCTAATGGGTACCTGATTTGAGTCTGGGAAAGTAAATAATAATGCTGTAATTTCAATATGCCGAGTTTAGAGACATAGATTCCCTCTGCTTGATCTGCACTATTTACCGACTGGTCTGAAATGGTATTTGCATCAGCACCAAGTGGCGCACAAAAGGGATAGAAAAACTACTAAAAATTTCCTTCTTAGCTGCATTATTGAATTATACACAGTCGAAGTAAAGACAACAAACAACTGCTTTTCTTCCCTGACTGGTTTAGCTGGTAAAAAATGGACAAGGGCCAGTGACTGGTAATAGGCGCCCCGAACATTTCTAAATGGTGGGGGGGGGGTGGGGGGGGGAGGCGGTTTTTCTTCAACGTGAACAGATTTTAATAAGTGCGGAGGGAGGAGGGAGTAAAATTGACAGCTCGCACCGGGCACCGGAAAGGGTCGATACGCCTCTGCTCCTAAACCAAATTTCCAACCGCTCAAAGTAAAGGGTGAAGTAGGATATTATGATAACCCTTCGATTTCCACACTTCAGGCATATCAAAGACATTTTTTTCCACAGTACGGTTTAGTTTTAACCTCTTTTACTAACAGTGGACTATTGTTTACATTTTTCATCTTGTATACCGCAATGTTTAATATGCGCGCGTGCGCAGGCGCAGGCGCACGCACACACACAAACATACACACACATATATAGAACAAAGCAGCCCATGTATTCTAGTGCAGCAGGTGTTAGGATAAAAATTAACCCGGTAGTTTTTGTTTTCAAACGGAGGGCAGCAACACTCGTTCGGGTAGCGGCGTTATGCACGTGCGATATATGGAGATTGTAATCGATAACACGGATGGCCCACGAGCCAGCTTGTGGCATGTTTTTTTCTTTCTCAGACGATGTCGTATTGTGTACTGACTAATTGTGGACTTGGTCATTACGTGGGACTTAGCGACTTAAATTTACACCCATTCTTTGAGCTGCTGGGTATCTACGTATAGTGCCGCATTCAAGACAGACTTCATTTTGGTGTCACCCATGAATGACGTCACGCATTAGCATTCGGTTTTTACTTCCTCCCTGTGAACCCCCCCCCCCCCCCGGCCCCTCCATTTTCACACCTCTTCCCAAAGTCAGACCCCCGTCTAATGGGCTTCACATTTCTATCCCCTTCTAAAACACATAGGCGTAAAACACATTGCGTAAATTAACAAGTTGTTACACAAATCAAGAAGCACCCGTGGTGTAATAAATATCACCGTAATTTATTTATTTTCATCGGGTGTGTGTGTGTGTGTGTATGTGTGTGTGTGTGTGACGGAAAGACCTGAGCCGGTGACTCTGTAGATGCAAGGTACATTTCATACAATCTAACACATCAGTCAATAATGTCAATAAGTGGTGTGTGGGTGGTTGATGTCAGATTTCATGCAACCTAGCACATCACAGCTTGTCCCCCTAATATCAGTCAGTGGTGTGTGTGTGTGTGTGTAGTTGGGGGCAGATTCCATGCATTACAACTCTATTGAGTTCCACGTACACACATAACCCCATGGATATCAACACCCTCCCCCTGAATTAACCCCGGACATACAACCCTTCTAGACAACAACCCCCGACTTAAGCCCACATGATATCAACCACCTAACACCAAAGCACTCTGTTACAGTTGGTATATATCGTGGAGTTACGACACAAGAAAGTAACCATTTGCATCGGATGGAACCATCCATTTGTTTTCTTTGACCATAGTTTAGTAAGGCCGATCTTGCGAAATCTACCTTCATTGACCTACTGTAGCCCTCCATCAAAGCGTCGTAGACTAAGGTTGGACGAGGCATCGAATAGTTGAGTTCTTGGTTACAAATTATGCGCCCCTAGTTTAACCACGGGATTCTAAGTATTCAGTGTAATTAATTTCTAAGTATTCAGTGTAGGCCTAATTAACTTCTAAATGTTTTAATTATTCCAGTGATGTGGATCGCAACAGTCCTCATTATCAAAGACCATAGCAAGAGCTATGTTGGATATTACCTCATGTAAGTAAGTCTTTTTTTCTATATTACATCATGTAAGTAAGTCTTCTTTGCAATTTACATCATATGAGTAAGTCTTCTTTTCGATATCACATCATGTAAGCAGTTTTTTTCTGTTGTATTTTTACCTTATCTAAGAAAGCCTCCAATGTTTCAAGCAAGTAAGCCATCAACATAGATATTATCTCTTGTAAGTCAGCTAGGCTACATGACTGTTGGGTTTTATCTACTCTCATCATGAAATCCCTTTTGAATGTTATTGGATGTAATCAAAACATTCCCTTTGGATGTTATCTGATTAAATCACGACATTCCCCTTTTGGTATTACCTGATGTAATCAAGACATTCCCCCCCCCTCCTGCCCTGCCCTTGAGCCTGTATTTAACCTTTGCACTCGTGGCCCGGACCCTTGATAGTCATTTGTTTGAAAGCTTAATAAAATCTACAGCGATCAAACAACACATGTACAAGACATGAACTACAACCTGTTTTACTCATAATCGCTCGATAATCTGGGGAGGATTTAGAGGGCGGGTGTTGGGGATAATTATTTCTGTAATGTTCAAACATGGCAACAATAGAACAACTTTGCAGCTGAAGAAGAAATAAGAAAAAGAAGATGGGGTTGGATAGGGCAAACACTGTGCAGACCACCTGCCAATATCACTAGACAGAACCTTCAAGGAAAGCGCAAAAGAGGTCGGCCAAAATAAAACAACACACCTGGAGGCTGGACCTAGAGGTTGGAACCACAAACATAGGCTACACCTGGAATCCGGTGGAGCAAATATTCAATGAGAGTGGACTCTGGAGATCTTTGGTTGGCCGCCCATACACTAACAGGACAGAGGACTCTGGAGATCTTTGGTTGGCGGCCCATACACTAGCAGGACAGAGGACACTGGATATCCTTGGTGGGCGCCCCATCCCCAGCAGGGGTGGCGGGTAGTGATGATGATGCTGTTGGGGAGACTTAATGGGGTTGTACACTGTTTCTCCCATAACTTTACACTTAGTTACTAAAAGTAAAATGTGGTCTGACTAACCACTCATCTAATCCCTCTGAATGTATCAATAAAGGATCAATAAATCCTGGTTAGGCCTGTAATCCAGGCTGAATTATCGGTTATTTTTATAATTATTTCCATCCACGACGGGATTAGAAAAACGTGGATATTGATTCAACGTTTTATAAATGAGAACTTAAAACTTGAAGTATATATTACGTCAAATTCTTCGACACCCTCCCTATCCCTACCTTAGGTCGATAAATAAAATACTTTACGGGTTGAGTGCAAAACAAAATATTTAACAATTCAGTAAAAACCTCGAACAAGAGAGCCCGCATAATGTTTAGCAGGGGACGTCACTATGATACCAAGATAATCTGCCTATCTAATTAAAAACGTACAGAATTACTTCATTAATGTTCTAACATTTCACGACTTAATTAACTATTTAATTGCTATGGTTTAATAATGATTTGCGTGGTTTTTAATAATAATTGGCAATTTAGTTTAATATCGAAAAGACTCCATGGTATTTAAGGTATATGCCAGCCATAATTGCTTTTCTTGGACGATTTTTTAAAACATGTTTGTTTTGTAACGATTTTGGTTTTTATTTCCAACAGAGGTGCTTCGACACTGGTCACATTTTTTGAGCTGACCTGGATAATGGACAAGTCAGTCTGTTGTGTGTGAGTAGGTCTTGTGTGTTAGTAGGTCTATATGTTGTGTGTGAGTAGGTCTTGTTTTAGTGGGTCCATATGTTTTGTGTGAGGGTCTATATGTTGTGTATGAGTAGGTCTTGTGCGTGAGTGGGTCTATATGTTGTGGGTGAGTAGGTCTATATGTTGTGTGTGAGTAGGTCTTGTGTGTGAGTAGGTCTATATGTTGTGTGTGAGCAGGTCTTGTGTGTGATTAGGTCTATATGTTGTGTGTGAGTAGGTCTTGTGTGTGATTAGGTCTATATGTTGTGTGTGAGTAGGTCTATAAGTTGTGTGTGAGTAGGTCTATATGTTGTGTGTGAGTAGGTCTTGTGTGTGATTAGGTCTATATGTTGTGTGTGAGTAGGTCTTGTGTGTGAGTAGGTCTATATGTTGTGTGTGAGTAGGTCTTGTGTGTGAGTAGGTCTATATGTTGTGTGTGAGGGTCTATATGTTGTGTGTGAGTAGGTCTATATGTTGTGTGTGAGTAGGTCTTGTGTGTGATTAGGTCTATATGTTGTGTGTGAGTAGGTCTTGTGTGTGATTAGGTCTATATGTTGTGTGTGAGTAGGTCTTGTGTGTGATTAGGTCTATATGTTGTGTGTGAGTAGGTCTTGTGTGTGAGTAGGTCTATATGTTGTGTGTGAGTAGGTCTTGTGTGTGAGTAGGTCTATATGTTGTGTGTGAGGGTCTATATGTTGTGTGTGAGGGTCTATATGTTGTGTGTGAGTAGGTCTTGTGTGTGAGTAGGTCTATATGTTTTGCGTTTTCGTGTGCAACCTTTTTTTATTTGCAGCACGGTGTACACGTAATTTATTTATACAATAATTACATTACGCATGCGTAAAACCATCAGTGTGGGCTTAGGAGTCTCGTTTCTTTTTTGTTACTGACACGGCCTACTTATTTTGTCAGTGTCCTAGCAATATAGTTTAGATTTTAGTTGTATCACTTTAAATATTACATTTACGGTCCCACTTTTATATTAGTAATTATAAATTACATCTACAACTCTGTAGAGTTTCTTCCAGGCATCTCTACCCCCCCCCCCCCTCCCTCCGAACGAAATGAAATTTATATAATTTATATATAAAATATATACTTTTAACAGTGTCCGCCCCCCCCCTCCCCCCGAAGAAAGTCTACCCCCCCCCCCCCCCGAAAATTTCAAGTGCCCCCCCCCCCCCGGAGAAAAAGTCTGGAACAAACACTGCAACTCTGCAATACTGTAACGTCCATAAACGTCTTGTATACATGTTATTTTTCATGACTTAAAGTTGTTTGTCTCCCCTGATCTATTTATATAACTTTCCTATTTCAGGAGACAGGGCTTGTATTATCTCCCCTGATCTATTTATATCACTTTTCTATTTCAGGAGACAGGGCTGCTGTTGCCGCATCTGGTCGGCCATCATGTGGGTGGACAACTGGAAGAAGTTCGTCCTTTACGTCCTTCTGTCCATCCCTCTCTTCCTGGAAGACAGTCGTCTGGTGCTCAGTATAGTCAGTGGTGAGGGTGTTGATCTCTTATATTGTCAGGGGTGGGGGAGGGGTTACTCTATTACACCATAAGGGATGGGCGAGTTACACATTATATTCTCAGTAGTGAGGGTGTTACTATATTACATCGCTAGGGATGGGGGTGGGGGGGGGGGTTATACTTATATTTATGTAATGGAGGTTGGACGCTAGTCTCTTACATTTACATCTTAGGGGGTGGGGGTTCCATAACTTCATCAGGGGCGGGGGTGTTACTCGTTTACATTTGCTATTATAATCACTTTTAAATATATATGTTATAACAAAATTCTCTTGGTTAAACTATATACATCATTTAACTCTCTCGCTACGTATAGAAAAACAAACTATTTTAAACAATATTTTAGCAACACAATTATCAAATCAAGTGATGTGCCGCAACGCTTACCGGCGATTCTGCTTGGTGATTCTGCACTCCATATGATTTGTTTCTCCTCTCCCAATATTTATCAGGTCTACTTTTTATTCCGCGTCTCCTAATATTTTCGAGGTCTACTTTTAATGCCTCTCTCCTATTATTTCCAGGTCTACTTTTAATGCCTCTCTCATAATATTTCTAGGTTTACTGTTGATGCCTCTCTCATAATATTTCTAGGTTTACTGTTGATGCCTCTCTCATAATATTTCTAGGTTTACTGTTGATGCCTCTCTCATAATATTTCTAGGTTTACTGTTGATGCCTCTCATAATATTTCTAGGTTTACTGTTGATGCCTCTCTCATACTATTTCTAGGTTTACTGTTGATGCCTCTCTCATAATATTTCCATGTCTACTTTTGATTCTGTTCTCCCAATATTTTCCAGTTCTACTCTTGATTCTACGAATATTTTCCAAGACTACTTTTAATGCTTTTCTCCTAATATTTCCAGGTCTACTTTTGATTTTCCTCTCCAAATATTTTCAAGGTCTACTTTTGAATCTACTCTCCCAATATTTTCCAGGTCTACTTTTGATTCTCCTCTCCACGATGTACCTCATCAAGACCTTCCGCAGTCACGTGTCTGTCAAATACGAAAAAACCGAACAGCGAATCATCGCCACCCGCACCCCCAGCATCCGAATGATCACCCACGAGATATCCACACAGACGGACACGGACTATCACATGACCTCGTACACGGCGACTTCCTCGGAAATTTCCGAAGATGGCGGAGCACACAAGAGCAATTAACTCTAGTTTATATTATTCTACTTTTGTTTTCCTTTCATCCGGATATTAGGCACTAATACTCATCCTGTGTTGATAAGAATGTTCGTATAATGGGATGCAACTGGGCGGTATATTTATTAACGACACAACAATTTTAAGAAATATGAAATCGCTATATTGTTTCTCTTTTCTTAGTTAGTTACAAAGCTTTGATACGTTTTTGAAGCTTAACTTTACTCACACCTATCCCAGTGTAAATGCAAAAATTCCAATACAATTTAACTTTTGCGTCTTTTATGTTAGTATAACAACAATTTTTGTTCGAGATTGTGGTTGGGCCTTTAATGAACAATACAGTGAAAGTGCTGGTTTTTCTAATTAAGTTGGGGAAATTATTTTATTTTTACTTTGAGACTCTCGACCTGAAAGAACAAATACTCAATGTTAAAGATTCGGATAAGTGTTAGATGTTTAATCTTACAGGTGCCTTCATATAACAACTATTCCTGCTATAGCTTCTCGAATAGCAAAACGTGCCTTTATATCCCAACTCTTCCTGCTATAGATTCTCGAATAGCAAAACGTGGCTTCATATCCCAATTATTCCTGCTATAGCTTCTCAAATAGTAAAATGTGCCTCCATATCCCAACTCTTTGCTATAGCTTCTCAAATAGCAAAATGTGCCTCCATATCCCAACTCTTTGCTATAGCTTCTCAAATAGTAAAATGTGCCTCCATATCCCAACTCTTTGCTATAGCTTCTCAAATAGTAAAATGTGCCTCCATATCCCAACTCTATGTAACTCTATAGAATCTCAAATAGCAAAATACGTCTGAATACTAAGGGGGTGGATATGAAGTTATTATGTGTTAATGTTTACCTCTCTGCGTACAAATGAATGAAGGAGATTATTATAAACTTGATAGTGTTACTCAGTAGAGTTGGGGGGGGGGGAAGGGTTGTCCCATGACACGAAACACGCAAATTTAGCTTCAAAACTAAAATGTAGTCCTATAGTCCTCCTCGGATACGTGGTACAACTACACTATTACTGCCAACGTAATTTGATTGTTTAATTATTCTGCACATCACACTTATGACTGAGGCACAAAGCGTATGTGTCATGAAAAAAGGGGTTAGCACTATAAAAAAAATTGGCATTCCAATTCTTTTTTTTTTTGTTTGCTTCAACCGTTGTTCTTTTTTATGTAAATGTATATGTAAATAAAAAAAAAATTCAAATCGATAAAATTATTTTGTGTTCAGTGTTTTAATGTTTATTTAAGGGTTGCGGGAATATCCGCTGTGTTACCGTATTCATTCTGTTAAACGCATTATTTTTACAAAAAAAAAAGCCTAGCTTTTTGTTTTGGATAGGTAATTTTATTTAAAGATTCAAGTTCACAATGATAACGTATTATCACATTTCGACAACTTCGCCCATGTAAATAATGTAAGTAAACAACCAACAAAATGTGTCCAAGCGGCGTCGACCTGAGAAAATAAAAAGCAATCCTTTCCCGACTTTTTCCATAGTGCTCTTTTCCATCGAAATACATCAAAAGACAACTGTCAGAAATTTTTCTTGATTTTGCTTTTTACAGAACCGATCCTGACAGCTCACGGAGATTATTCCCCGTGTTCAGGTGGCCTAGTCGACCCCTACATGTGAACCTAATGTTAACTCATTTTAATTTACAAATTATTACCCCCTTTACTCAGTACTTTTTAGCACGCACGTGCTTTACACTTGTTTACTTTTAGATCGAGCTATTTTCTTTAAAAAATCCTAAATAAGTAGAAAAAATACAGATAAAATCATCCTGTGTAGAACACAACTGAGTCATTGCCTATATAAGACTCTTTTGTACCAAGCCGTGTCATGTCACCGTTTTAATTAGCGTATCAATATATATATATATATATATATATATATATATATATATATATATATATATATATATATATATATATATATTGTGTGTGTGTGTGTGTGTGTGTGTGTGTGGTGTGTGTGTGGTGTCAACTTCTTTATTAAGTTTTTTACTCAATAGAGAAAGAGCAATTGCTTTTCGATTTTGTAATGCAATTCTTCTTGTAATTGATTTTTCTTCAGCTTATAAAGCCTACATGTGTTAGCAGAAATTTCGTATGAAATGCTTATCCAATTACTGATGTAGCTGTAATCTGGTTGGATGTGCTGTGTGTGTTAGATGACCGAGCAGTTTTGTTGGGTAGTTTGTTTGCCAACATTCACGCATGAGGATGAGTTCGGAGAGCACGCCCCTACAGAGGGAGGAGGAGACGTCTTCCCAGTCTTTTATTCTCACTAATATAACGCTGATAGCTCGTTCATTTGGACTTATAACTGTTGTCGGTATTTTATTTTTTACATTCATGTATCTTTTGAGGTGAACTTCTTGTTTTGAAGTTATCACCATGATAAAATATAATTCATATTATATATTCACAAATACTTAAATGAACATCTCTTTTTAATGTGATTTTAACGATAGATGTTGCTTTTAAAAAGAATTTATTATTACATATTAAGGAATCGCTTAACATATGAATACTTTTTTGTTGTACTCCAAAGATACGCTCTTGCTATTTGGCAATTTGTCTATTTATGTAAAGCAAAGTTGTTGGTGCCCTAAAGGGCACTTCCCGGCGCCGCAGGCGCTTCAAATTCGGCATGAGTCTGAACACGAGAGCCGGTGCCGGTTGGCCAACAAGTCCACGTAGAGGGGGTCAAAACCGACCTTGACTGACCGGCGCCTTATATGAGCTATATTACGAAAAAAAACTTTTGGCCGACAACTGCCCTTGAAAAAACTCGCCATGTCCGGGAAAAATCTAGAAATGGGTCAAAACTGACCAGTCGTATTTCCCTATATAATCTTTGTATTTTATGGGAAAAACAGAGGGTAATTTCAACAAAGATTTCATGGTAATTACCCTCTGTACATCAGGCTAATTTTTGGCATGCTCTTAGGTAAATGACTAGGCCGTAGAGCACACTTGTCAGTTTCACTCAACGCCCTCAACGAGGGCTAAAAAGTGACCGCGAGTGAAATTCTCTTTATATGAGTTTTATTACGAAAAATCTTTTCCCCGACGACCCCCCCCCCTCCCTTGAAATTTTGTTAGGTGGTAGAAGAATGCCTAGGGGTGTCACAAAAATCTCACCATGTCCGGGAAAAATCGGGAAATGGGTCAAAACTGACCAGTCGTATTTCCCTATATAATCTTTGTATTTTATGGGGAAAACAGGGTAATTTCAACAACGATTTTATGGTGCTTAGTCTCTGTACATCAGGCTTATTTTTTGCATGCTTATAGATAAATGGTCATGCCTTGTGGAAAAACTGTTCGTTTGACTCAAAACCCTCGACGATGGCTAAAAATTGACTGCGAGTGAAATTCTCTTAACATGAGAGATATTACGAAACAAACTTTTGCCGAACGACCCCCCTTGATATTTTGTCAGATGGTAGAAGAACGCATAGGGGTGTTAGAAAAAACTCGCCATATCCGGGAAAAATCTGGAAATGGGTCAAAACTGACCAGTCGTATTTCCATATATAATGTATGTGTTTTATGTGAAAAACAGGGTAATTTCAATACAAATTTTAGGGTACTTAACCTCTGTATATCCGTCTAATTTTTTTGCATGCACCTCTATAGATGACTAGACCGTATGGAAAAACTGTTGGTCAGACTCAAAGCCCTCGTTGTGAACTTTCCAATATTTTCTCTGAAAACGGACTTTAAAAAACAAACAACAACAACATCATTTTCTCTAAAATTAGCATTACTGTTTAAATTTAAGCACTCCACACCTCAGCCATCACTAAATAATTAATTATTCAAATTTTCAAATGCTTTTTGAAACCTAAGCGAAGCTAGGCAGTATGCCTAGTACTTAAATAATTTATAATTATACTTATGGAAACAATTTATAATTAAGATCAGACTCCGACACACAAACTAAATGGCATATAAGGCATTTGAATTAATATGCTATGCACAGTTTCCTCATGCTAAACAGCTTTCATTTTTACTGCATTAATACGCTTAAGGTATTAATGCATTGATTTTTGGTTGAGTCATATACCAGTAAGGGCTAAATGGTGTCCATACACAAGGCGTATAACAGTTTAGTTATTGTAAAAAGGGGCGAGATGGTGATTCAGGTGAGGATTAACCGCTGTCCTCAATTAAGGATAGACTATACGGATACAAGTTCGTTCGAAGTCTCGGAGTCAACTCAGCCCTGTTCGGTACCTGACTCGAGTCTGGGAAAGTAAGACGACTAGAATACACCCTACAACACATCGAGTTAAGCGAAATAGGTCCACTCTGTTTAATCTGCACTATTGGCCGACTGGTCGGAAATGGTATATGCATAGGCACCACGTGCAGTCACCTCAACTTGAACCAGGTACCCACCACAGCTGGGTAGACTCGGCAACGTTTTACGAACTTGAGATCGATAGTCGGTATAGATGCCCTAATTTTGACAATATTAATTTAGCCCCCAAACTCAATTACTACACATTCAAAGTAAAGGGTGTATCTGAATATTAAGACAACCCTTCTATTTCCACAATTATTTATCAGGCATATTAAAGAAATTGTGTTCCCCAGTACGGTTCAGTTTTAACCTATTTTATTTTTCACTAACGTTGGAGTTCTGTTTACAAATTTTTTGATCTTGAATAACCTACCGCAATGTTTAAAATAAGCGCGTGCTCAAACACACATACACACAGACATCCACACATCCCCCGCACATATACAACAAAACAGCCCATCAATTCTAGTGCAACAGGTGTTAGGATAAAAATTAACCTGTTAGTTTTTTTTCAAACGGAGGACAGCAATACTCGTTCGGGTAGCGGCGTTATGCACGTGCGATGTATGGAGATTGTAATCAATAACACGGATGGCCCACGAGCCAGCTTGTGGCATGTTTTTTTTTTCTTCAGACGATGTCGTGGTTTTTGCTGACTAATTGTGGACTTGGTCATTACCGGCGACTTAGCGACAAAGGGTGCGGGGGTTAAATTTTCGAAAAAAAAATTTTGTGGGTAGCTACGCAGTGCCGCATTCAAGACGGACTCCAGTTTGATGTCACCCAGGAATGACGTCAAGCATTAGCACTCGGTTTTTATCTCCTCCTTGTAACTCCATCCCTCCAATGTAAGACGCAGGTCTGAAAAGGACATCAAATTTCCAACTCTCCCTAAAAACGCACAGGCTTTTTATGAAAATTAACACCTTTCAGATCAATCGTGATTTGCCCTAACTTCACATCATAATATTCCACCCTTTGCCAACCGCATACAAATACCTGTATGAAGTCACCGGTAACGCTGGTATAATAAATATCCCCACATTATTTTCATTGTGGGGGGGAGAGGGGGGGAGTGAAAGACCTGAGTCTGTGACGGGGACATGATGAGGTTCTCAGAACACGTGACTCTGTAGATGGAAGGAACATTTAACACAATCTAACTCATAAGAGCTTGTCCCCCTAATGTCACCCAGTAGTGTTGAGGTGGTTGAGGGCACATTTCATACATTACAACTTTCTTGAGTTCCATGTACAAATATACACCCCCATGGATATCAACACCCTAGATTTAAACCCTTATGACAACAATCAACCAGATATACAACCCTCTGGTCATCAACCCCTAACACCAAAGCACACTGCTTCCATAGGTTTATGTCGTGTACTTTGGATATTAAAAAAGTAACCGTTTGTATCGGATAGAAAAAATCCATTTGTTTCCTTTGACCATAGTTTAGTAAGGCCGATCGTGCAAAATCTACCTTCCTAGGCCTACTGTAGCCCTTCATCAAAGCGTCGTAGACTAAGGTTGGACGAGGCATAGAACACAGTTGAGTTCTTGGTTACAAACTATGGGCTCCTTGTTTAACCACGGGATTCAAAATATCCAGTGTAATTAATTTCTAAATATTCAGTGTAATTAATTTCTAAATATTCAGTGTAATAGTCTAAATATACAGTGTAATTCATTTCTAATTTTAAAAATTATTCCAGTGATGTGGATCGCAACAGTCCTCATTCTCAAAGACTACAGCAAGAGCTATGTTGGATATTACCTCATGTAAGTAATTAGTCTTTTCGATATTACATCATGTAAGTAAGTCTTCTTTTCGATATTACATCATGTAAGTAAGTCTTTTTTTCGATATTACATCATGTA